AAAACCAAAAAAAAAAAAATCCAAAAACGCCCACGAGACCGGCAAGACGATAGCGCACCAGCATTGTCGCCCCGCCCGGCGTCTCCGTCCCCGACACGCCGTCCCAGCGATGGCGTAGGAGCACTGTCGCTGTCGAAGTATTGAGAGACTCTAATTTCCAGATCCGGGGATATTTCTTCCCTTTCTTTTCCGTTTCCCCTCTTTTCTCTACCTCTTTGGTTTCGCTCTCCTCCTTGAAAAGGAGAAAACGAGCCAGAGCCAAACTCTTCGGACATGGCGACAGCGTATCAAAAACATGGAATGGGGTATCATAAAGCCAAAAGAGGAAGGAAAAGTAAATGGCAAAAAAAAAAAGAAGAAAAAAAGAGGTTGGAAAATGTTGAACACTCGCCTCTGCTGGGTAGGGGAAAGTCAACAGTCAGGTTTTGGTTGGGATCGCAGAAAAGCATCCCGACCGGAACCAAACGAGAAGTGAAGAAGTCGAAACAGGTTGATCCTGTTCCTATCGGGAGAACCGGCGGTCGGTCATCCCCTCATTTTCTCCTCTGACGAGGGACTAGGCCGTAGAAGCCTTGCCCAGCTTGTTCCACCACATCCGGCTGAACCCGCGTTGCTGGGCTTCTCTGCGCGCTGCACCGTCCAGGTACCCGTCTGAGTCGTCGGCCGAGGTGTTGCCGCTGCCCTCAACAATCCGCTTGCTCGGCTCGTTCCCAAAGATCTGCAGCAGCACCAACATGGAAAAACTCGCGACAATGCTCATCCCTAGGATGCCAATCATGGTGAAGTTGCTCCGGCGGTACTGGTGCGGGCCCTTGGCGGCGTCCTCGGGCCAGCCGGTGTACAGCGCGTAGGTAGTGGTAATGCTGCCGAGGTTGCCCAGCCCCGAGACGAGGGCCGACGCGGCCGCGACGCCGACTTCACGATGGCGCCGCTGGAAGATCTCGTTGGTCCAGGTCATGCAGATGGGAACTGTCGGGCCAAGGCCGAAGCCGACCATTAGGAGCCCGCCGTAGCGCGCCCAAGGGTTGGCGAGCGCGAAGGTGACGGTGAGTAGGCCGGCAATTTGGATGCAGACGGCGGCGGAGAAGAAGAGCGCGCGGTGGCGGTGGAAACGGTCGGACACGGGTGTGACGAGGAGGATGGCGAGGAAGTCCATCTATATGATAGTCAGCAGCGTGCTTCCATGGGATTCATTGTACAGGACCGCGGTGAACGTACCATCCAAATGGGCGCAAACAGCAGGCTGACCTGAACGCCGGTAAAGTTCGGGTCAATGGCCGCAATGATGACGCTCCCGTATAACTGCGTGCCAATCCCGACGCCGACCACGCCAAAGTACATCAGCACGAGAGGCCACAGTCGCCAATCGATCAGCACATGCCACAGGTCCTTCAAGTTCCACGCCCGGGCATGGTACACCCTCCGCAAATCATGGTAATGCACGACCGCATCCTCGCCCGTCAACGCTTCCGGGCTCGGCGGCAGCCACTTCGCATACCAACTCCTTGCACGCTCCTCACCCGGCGCCAGCGGCCGGTCAGGCAGCCACCACAACAGCGATACCCCCAGCACGACCCCCAACAACCCATAGATCAAAAACATCCACCGAAACCCGACCAACCCGCCCAACCCGTCCATCTGCTGAAACCCAGCCGACACCAACCCGACCACGGCCGCCGACACCTGCGACGCGGTGAAATACATGCCAATCCGCTTCCCCGTCCGCGACGGCGGATAAAACAGCGTCAGATAATACGCCATACCAGGCCACATGCCAGCTGTGACAAGCCCCAGCAAGAACCGCAACAAGTTCAGACTCCAGGCCGCGCCGACCGCCGTGAAACATGTGCCCACGACGCCGACGGCGAACACAATGCGGGCCATCCACACGCGGGGGGAGAGGCGGCTCATGACAAGGTTGGAGGGCAGGTCGAAGAGCACGTAGGAGACGTAGAAGAGGGCCAGGGCCGTGGATGTGTCGCGTGGGGACAGCGAGAGGACGGAGGCGAGGTCGTGGTGCGCGGCTGTGTTCATGGTCTGGGCGATGCCGATGTTGGAGCGGATGGCGGAGGTTAGGAAGTAGAGCGCCCAGAAGGCGGGGATGATGCGTAGGTCGAGTTTTCTGGGGGGGGTTAGCTGAAGCTGACCCTATATGTGGACAGGATAAGGAGGAAAACGAACCGGTAGACTTTCTCGACGCGCTCGACGCTGTACTCCTGGATGGGTGCTCGGCTGCTGCTCCCAGCGACGCTGTTATTAGCATTGGCATCACCATCATGATGGGACGCGCCGTCTGAGGCGAGAGCCTGTGTGAGTCTGTCATCAGCATGGTGGGCTGAGCCCGGGTCGTGAGCCATTCTGGGACTGAGAAGCAATGGAGGTGCGTGCTAATAGTCTGTTCAGGCCACGATATTTTTTTCGTATAATTGACTCAAGTATAGTTGTGGTGATGTTATTAGTTGTGTGTTCAAACTTGGAAAAGATGAAAGTTTATTTCACGCTGAGAAATTCTTACGCCGGACTTGTACGGAGAATGAGAGAATAAATGTGGGCCGAGGTCGGAGCTGGTGGAGGCGCTATAAGCTGAGTTGTTGAGCCGTTGTTGAGCCGTTGAGAACCGGAGATTGGCCGTACATTACTCGAAATTTCTCAAAAGTCGTTGAGTATGAAGAAACCCTGGGTTTGATCGAAAAGGGGTTGAAAGGTGTAGAGTATTGCGCGAGCTCGACGTTGAGCTTTTGTCTCGAAAATTGGTTGCATTTGAGGCTGGAGTACTCGAGTATATTAAGAGGGGTTTCCCGAGACAACGCAACCAAGCATCGATCTCGGAGAAAGTCCGCCTCAACATCTTATTTATCTTCACACAAGACAAAATAGAAAACATATGGGAAAGAGAAAGAGAGAACTCGACACTGCCGAATATACCGGAGATGATCCGTCAAGGAGTAAAAAATGGCCCTAACTACCAACCTATTATGAGATAACCACACTGGGAAAAAAAAATGAAAGAAAAAAGTGAAGACAACACGAGGAAGAGACGGGGAAAGCCAGCGCTAACCTCTCCCTCCTTCCCCAGTAAAAGCCATCCAAGCCATGACTACCACCGCTTCCACTCCATTGCCACATTTCTGGGAGCCCTCACGCCCTCAGCACCGACCATGTATGCGTGTGTAAGCCCCATCATTCCCCTCTCATCACCAACAACAACTCACCCCCTCCTCCTCGTGCCACCACCCACCTCGTTTGCCGCCTACTAGCTGTCCGCCGGACAAGAAGATCAAATCAATGCTGTGGACATGGAAAGGGAGGGAAGTGTGACGGTCAATATGAAGATGACGTTGGCCAGGAACTGGGTAGGCGCCTTGACTCGGTCAACGTATTGTTTGCCCCGTTCCATCACACGAGGCCAGCCGTCGAGAGTATCCCCCCTCCCCCGGTGTCTGTCTGCTTCCCCAGGAACCGGGCCCGCGAATCGGAGACGGAGAGGAGACGGAGGGAGAAATATTATTGTCCGCGTGTGCCTGCGTGTGCCCAGGGGGATCATGCAACAAAGCCAGACGGCCTCTCTGTTCTGTACTCCTCAAAAACAAGACAGGAAGAAGTGAGCGGGAAGGCGGTTGGTTGGTGGCGGGCGGCGTGCCCTGTGGCTCCCGAGTGAGGCGGTTAACTTCGTTTCGTTTCGTTTCGTTTCTGAGAGGGAAGGAGAGAGGGAGGGCAGGATGGCGGCCTGGCGTTCACATGTCTGCGTCACGCCTTAGTGCGTGCGTCATTAGTTTGTCTTGGGGGGGTTCGGCTGGGATGATTTTCATGATCTGTGGTGTGTTGGTTGTTGGTTCGAAGGAAACGTTTGCGCCATGGAAGAAGGGCTCATGATGGATTATGTTTCCGTGTTGGCCACAGAGGACAGACACTGTTTGCCTGGTGTTTGGCGACGGCGTACTGTATGGCGGAATTGGGGACTTGTCTCCTCAGTTTCGAGAATTAACAATGATCTCTATCGCGAGGTCAGCGTAATGTTAGTCGTTGGCGCAGTGGTATTTATCGAGGGAGCAAACGGAAGTGGTGTTTGTTATTGGACACCTGATAGATAAACACGCATGCCAAGGTCAAAGGGGGCGGCCAACAACAACACCAAAAATATCTGGCGGCAAGGACATGGGAGCCACGTGGGCGTCTAAATGAATTATTTTTTTCGAGCACAGTGTTAATGGTGATGTCTTGAAAGTCGCGAAGGACTTGATGGAAGGGTCGTCATGGCGAGAGGTTCGAGTTGTTTAGATGGTTATCGCGACTCTGAGCAGAACGACTGCCGCCTGGTGATACCCGGGGCGCATGCCATCTTTTTACCTGAGCTTGGAGTATTGATAGATTCGGCCTGACTTAATAGCTCGTTTCAGATAGCAAGGTGAAGTCGTCAATATTGCTGCAGCTTAGGCTTGGTTGTCCCAAAACTTGGGAACCATATGGGGCGCGTTGTCAAATGGTTTACTGTTCCAAAAAGAAGCGATGTTGACGGCGTTTACGTTCCAAAGATTATATACTGCCTTGCAAATCAGGCAGGATACGAAGACTTGGAGACAACCTTCACAAAAGAAGTGGACTACAGAGGTGGAGCAACCAGAGCTAGCCACATGTCAGGCACCGGTCCTCAACCCCCAAAACGGTCCTTGTGCCCTGCCATTTGAGGCCTTTTACCGGACATCCGGAGGCTTCTGAGTCACCCGGGGCATTTCCTCCAATTCAAAAGAGGGGTTAAACCAGACCGCCATCAGTCTTGGGTATAACCCTCGTCCACATAGCGAGGACAGCATGATCGGACCACTACCCGGATGACATCTGGGCTGTGCATGCGATGATTCCAGGACATCATCACACTGCTGTTCGTCAACAAGAGACGGATGTGAATGAGACGGCGTCGGAAGTGGGCTTTGGCTGATCATCCAGGGCTGAGTGTCATGCAAGATCTCTCGACCGCGCTGGTGGGATCTGCCCGGGGACCAACTTTGATGGCGTTCACAGTGCTTCCTCGCTTGTTTCCCGCCGTGATGCATTCCTCCTTCTAACTGGCACTCGTCTCCCATTGGGCTCATCGTGACATGTGCCTTGGATGGGAGGGAAGAATGGGCATGTGGAAGGTTGGCCTCCGAACCCTGGCTCTGGAGATGCGGTAGCAAAGCCAAACTCGAGAACCTTGTGGACTTAAAATCAAGCGCCTGCGGGCTGTCGGACTTGCTCTCCGGGATATTGGTTTCGTCGCCTGGCAAGGTGGGATGTGACGGGACGAAAATCATCGAATGTACGAAATTCTAGAATGCATTCCACTCTCCGCTGCCTGGCCGCCTGGAGCGGTCGTTTGATGTGGCTGGTGACCTAGCGGAAGCCATCGCGGTTTACCCGCGGGGATGGGATGGGTCGCGTGGGTCACCCTGGCCTGCCACGGTGGCGGTTGGGGACTGCACTGCGAGGTGAGCATTGTACTGTTCTGACACTGGGGATGTCATGAGGCTGAGGAACACATCGACCGCAACCGCTGGCCACCCAGCCTGGGGTAAGGAGGACAGAAAGTGGGCTGGATGATCCACAGCCGGGCCATGCAAGGCTGCAAGCACCAACCCAAACCCTCGGCCCGGTGAGTCACGTTGCGTGGCTGCCTCAAAAGGGCCATGCACACACTCGTCAAGTGGTGCGTCAGGGCGGCGATTCAGTCGTAAATCATCCTGGCTGCCTGTCCTGGATTGAAAGAGGTACTTAAGAGGATGCAGAACGCCGTTTGAGGTTTGCAGACGAAAAAATGTTGTTTGAGGGAGAGCAAGAAGAGTTTCGAATTTGCAACTTGGGAAGCAGCAAATCATCGCAGGCGACAGAGACTCAAAAAGCGTGACTAAGCGGAATATCCATTTCCAGATCACGTGCTCCGACTACGCAAGCGGCCCACAATTCTAGAACACCCAAATCGCCCCGCATCAACTCGCCCCCAACTCCGCCCAGCAGCTGAGCCTCATTCTCCGGGCCACAACCCAACCTCAATTTTCAGGCCAATCTCGAATTCGACGACCGCGATCGTCGGCGACTTCACTTTGAGGCAGGACCCCATCGTTTAAAAGGTCCCGATCGTGCGCCTGACGCGTCTCGGTGGCGGGCGACATCCGTTCCTTCCTGGACCAGCCGCGTGGCATTTTCCGGGACTGAAAACCCGCAAACGCCGGACCGACCGATACCTTCGATATCTTATTGTCCCTATTGTACCTATTCTCCTTCGAATTGGGCCCGAAAAGTCAACACTTGCAGCTTACCATATATCGATTACGACCCACGCCATACCTTGGGATTTGCTTCCGTCTGGCACCACCGACCGAGCTTTCTCTCCTCTTCGCTTTCTACCGTACACCGAATTTCCTTACAAATTAATTGCCAAAGATGAGCGTCGTCTACGAGCCCCGGAACTTCATCCATGATGGCGGTTACCCGCCGATGGATGATGAGCACGTTACTACCTCGCCAGATGCCGACCAGTTCACCGATTCGGAGGATACGGTCACCAACGAGCTCGCTACCACTGTCGCGTCCTATGTTCCGCAGCTAAGCAAGCAGTTGAACACGCAACTGGGCGCGCAGCTGAGCACTCAGTTGAGCAACCAGTTGAACACGCAGTTGAACACGCAGTTCATCGATACCACTGAGCAGCGCCTCGACTTGCCCACCGTTCCACAGACTGCCACGACCGACGCATCCCCAGAGCATGACCCCGGCTCCCCCACCCTCTGCGACGATGAAGATGGTCCCATCCTACGGCCAGTCCGGTCGCCGGTCAAGAATGAGCGGGGCAAATATCCCTGCACTTGGGCCAACTGCAATGAGAAGGTCAGGGAATGGATTCGCAAATGCGAGTATAAGTAAGTTTTTTCTATCATTTCTTAGAAAAGGCGGTCCATCCATCTCTAAGGAAGCTTTTGCCGTGACCAGTTCTGACTTAATCACAAATAGCAAGCATATGGACAAGCACGAGCGGCCATACAAGTGCGGTCGTCCGGATTGCAAGAAGCTCCTTGGTTTCACCTACCCCGGCGGTCTCTCGCGGCACCGGCGCGAAGTCCACCACCTAAATGGCGGCCCCAAGACCGTGCTTTATTGCCCGCATCCAGCCTGCAAGCGTCACGAGGGCAAGGGCTTTGGACGCCAGGAAAATTTGACCGAGCACCTTCGTCGCTTGCATCCCAATGCCGGAGAGAAGGGCGAGGGCGTCCCGGGCGACGAGGAGGAGGATGAAATGGACATTGACGCTGACGGCAACGGCATGGACAAACCCTCTCCTAGCCCGGGTCGGAAGCGCAAGCGCGAGCTCGTCAATACTCCCACGGTGGACAGCACCGGCGAGCTGCGCGAGGAGATCAAGCGTGTGCGCCTAGAGAACGAAGAGCTCCGCCGGCAGGTCGGGGCGCAGACCCAGCAGACGGTGATCATGATGCAAAAGATCGCGGCACTGCAGAAGGCGCTCGAGGTGCGCATTCCCGGCACGGTCACCACCGTTGCCCCTCCCTCGGCCATGAAGCCCGCTCCGATTCCGATGCAGACCGCGACGATGATCTAGGATACCCTCGACGCGCACCATGCGAACCAGGACCAGCACTATCATCAGAACCAGCAACATCAGCACCAACATTTTCAGCCTCAGCATCACGAGTATCCTGCTTCTGCCCCCGCTCTTGAGCAGTATCAGGATTATCCTTCTCCCTTTGATGGCCTGGACTCATCCCAGATGGAGCAGTAAACCACGAGTTCCGCGCTTCATTTTGTCTGGTTCGCGCATGTTGCACACTCGAACGCCCCCCTCGCTGTTTTCGTCCTGTCTTCTTCACTTTTCGCTCCCCCCTACCCCCTATTCAACACACCTCCTCTCTATGTCTTGCTTTCTCTTCCCATCTTCCACCTCCATCTTTTTGCTTTTTGTTATGACGGTTTTGCATTTTACATCAGAGATTCCCCCCTCTTTCACTACCGCGCCCAATAACGGTCGTTGATCGAGAATTGCATGGACGAGGAGTTTGCCAGGGAAGATTTTTTCTTCCACTCAGATGGACGGATACGGCCTGTTTTTCTTTCCTTTGTTTTTTTTTCCTATGGGCGGGCGGTATACTTTGTATGACGGACGGACGTCCATGATGAAACTTTTTCCTGGGTCTTGAACGGCGTGCTGGCGGACGGAAACGGTTTCCCGGTTACGGCGGCGTTTTTGGGGGTGGATATACCATTTGCCGGGGCACGCACGCAGAAAGGATAAGTTTTGTTTCCAATGGGTCCGGATCACTCCCCGAATCTTGTCTTTTGTTTTTTTGTTGTTTTTGTTCTTCTTACTTTATCTCTCCCCCTCCCCCTTTGTTAGGGGGTATCCGGGCAGGATCTGGTGTATTTAACGGCCCAGTTCCTTACACTCGGATTTTTCTTCCCAATCCCCTCAATGTATCCAATGTGTCACGATAGCGGAGTCTCAGGCTCGAGTTCGCTCGCCGAACCCCAATGTAGCGTAGAATCATTTGTCAACTATTATGAAAAGACAAAAATCTGACATATCTCTGCTTGTGTAGAGGATGTGATGTAGATGGGATAACGCGCCCACATCTTCTTCCTGTTACCTCACTGGACTAGACTTCCGCCCCCCCCAAAAAGGTACGTCCGGTAAAGTCCCTCCCTGCGCTCCTCTATACGCCCTTGTTGCTGCGAATTTACACATTGCGAAGGTTTGTCTCGGTGTTTTTCGGAGTTTCTACAACCCACACATACATCATACATCCAGCAAGTAACCAACTAGCGAAAGCAGAGCAGAGCCCTGATCAGCCAAAACAAACGTCATCAACCCGACGCATCATCAAAGGGGCTGAGGATGTAAATCACACACTTGCTTGCTACTCCTATTCCTCTACATTACCGATGGTGTGGTGTGGTGTGGTTGGTAGTTTCTCAATTTCCCTTCTCATCCATTAGCCCCCACTTGCTGAGGGATCTCTGAGGTCCCGATCGGTAACATCGCCGACTTGGGATCGGCGGGAGGCGCGTGGCCTGCTGTAGTATGGCTGGGGCTTGGTTGAGCCGCAGTAGGGGAGTGTATTATGTATGGGTAGAGGCGGTGGTCGGGTTTCACAGAGAGGGATATGTGTCGCTGCCTCAGGCAGGGAGGTGGATTGTTCCTCAGGCAACGTACTTTATGGGATGCTTGGTTTGAGTTGTGTTGTCTCTGCTTGGGTCTGGTTATCTGAGGGGGCTAGATGTTGACCACTGGCTAGCCAACCTCATGGTTATGTTTCCTGAGGTTCCCGTCTGTTGTTTTCTTTGGTCTTGTCGGTCAGGGGAAGAAGGAGAAACACGACCAGCGACTGACTGTTAGTAGGGGATTTTAAGTTGGCAGAGGTAGGTAGAAATGGATGCACCTCCGGGCATAGCACGATAGGTATGGCCAAGCTCACGACGCTTTATTTCCAACTGCTCTAGGCCATGAGAGCCCTCAACAGTAAATAGACTTGTCCAACCAGTACATAAAACGAACGTAAGAAAAAACACGGGCCATGCCCACAACCGGGCATGCATCTCATCCCAACTCCCACCCACCACAAACTGCGTACCTTCCTTCTCTCCCTCCCTCAGCGGTATATAAGCCTCCCCCTTCCCACTGCCACAGCCACCAACTCCCCCAAACGGCGAACAAGTGTTCGCCCGGGCGCATAGCGCAACGGCATTGGGGTGTTTGGTGTGAGCTTTTGCTTTTTTTTTCAATCATCATCTGATTCATGTTGTTGACGGCATTTCCTTTTTGTAACGTCCCCATCGATGGATGGATGCATAAATGTATGTGTTGTTGTTCAACACAACTAATTCCACGTCTAATCATCAATCTATCACGACTATCACGTCCATAACCAACCAGCCATCCACCTCCCCGTTACAATTCCATCCCATCTCAAATCTTCGACCCCCCTCTCTCCTCTCCCTTCTGTTCACCATCAGCACCCGCAACAACCCCCACAACAAACTGCACCGCATCCCTCACCATCTCCGCACTAAACGCGTGTCCAACCCCCTCATACACCCGATCCTCCACCTCCACCCCTTCCTCCGTCCACCACACCCCCGCTGCCTGCTTCAGCCACCGCACAAAGGGCTCCGAACAGCGGTAGGGGACCAGCTTGTCGATGGCGCCGGAGCAGAGGAGGATTTTCTTGTTGGCGAGGCGGGTGTGGAGGATTTGGCGTTGCCGGGATGTCTCATCGTCGTTAGACTTGGGGTTAGAGGCAGAAGAAAAGTCTGGGATGGGGTCAGTGCCGAAGAAGATGGCTTTGGGGTCGTATTTCTGGGATGCTTGGATGAGAGAGGGCGGGAAATCGCGGCTGCCGAGGAAGGAGGCGCCGGCGTCTTGGGCGGAATAGGTTGGGAGTTTGCTGAGGCGGGCGCGGTCGGCCATGAGGTCTGCATCGTTTAGCTTCTTTTTTTTTTCCTTTTTCTTTTTCTTGAGACTGGATTTTGGCCGATGTGTAAGTTTGTAGGCAGGTAACTTACTCATGTAATCCGGACATCCGATAACGACCACACCGGCTGTGACCCTCGGCTCGGCCAGCAGCAGTTGCCATACAGAGTGGCCCCCGAGTGACACACCCAGGGCGATGTGCTGGTCAATCTGCTTCTCGCCGCCAGGGAAGAGGTAGCCTTGGACGAGGTCTCTATGCAGTTGTTAGCCCTCATCCTCGCCCTCCTTTGGCTTGAAACAGAGAATAGAACAAGACAAATGCAAGACAAACGTACATCAAAACCCCCTGATCAACCACCATCCCCGCCACCAACCCCAACATATCCACCGCATGCCTCCCATTCCCATCCCGCCAACTCCCATTCGCCTTCTCATCCACGATCCGACTCCCATGATTCCTCTGATCATACGCCAGTGCCACCAACCCTCTCGTCCCTTTCCCCTTCCCTTTTCCCTCTCCCTTCCCGTTTAAATCAGTAGCAACCTGCGCATTCCACCCCCCCACGCACCGCGCCGCAATCCCAGCAAGGTCCTCGCGTCGGCGGGTCCGTTGATGGTGCAGCCAGAGACAGGAGACGTGGGTGGTGGTGGGGGGTAAGTCGGAGAGGCCGTGGACGTCGACGAGGAGGCCGGCCATTTGGATGGTGTGCGTGGAGATTGTGGGGGGTGGGGGGAGGGGGGTTGTGTTTGGGGATGTCATTTTGATGGTTTTGTTGTGTTGTTTTTGATGGGTTTGTTGTTGTTACTGTTGTATGTGGTTGTTTGGGTTGGCGGCTATGGTTCTTTTGATGGAGTCGGATTGTAGATGGCGGTTTGATGTGAGGTATTTGGTCTCAACGTTGTTGGATAAAGTTCACTTGTATTTGTAGTTGAGGCGACCTCGGCTCTTGATAAACGGGTTGTAATGCGGTGGTTTGGAGAAGTGGGGTTGGAGTTCGTCCCATGGAACCGTCGGAGAAGCCGGGCTTACAAACTACAGCGTTCGTCGCGGGTACAACGGGGTTTACCCAAGTACGCTTTCTAGGACAAGGAACGCGGATAGAAACCGATAAAAGAGGAGAAAATAATAAGCACGCATATCTATCTAGGATATGCACATAAGATATAAAAAGTCAATATACGCTAGATATTTGTGAGCATGCTTACATCCTTGCAGAATGGTGCATTCGATTACTTATAAGACGAGCGTATTCCTGGGCGTCAAGAAACGTTATTTACCAAAAAGCCACGAGTAATAAATTTCATATTTACACCTCTCATCCACCCATTTACCTCACCAAACCACCCCCCTCACTCACACCCAAGGCCTTACACCCAAGGCCTAACCCCCCCAGGCTCCAACCCATCCTCCCCCTCCCCCAAAACCCTCACCACCACCCCACTCCTCTCCCTCTCCTCCTCACTCCTCCCCCCAAACAACCGCTGATCCACCCCCCACACATTCCTCCCCTTCCTCTTCCCACTCAACTCCAACCCAACCCCATGCGGATCCGCCTCCCACTGTCCCAGCGCCAACTGCGCACCCAACACCGCCTGCTTCTTCACCTCCTTCACTATCCCCTCTTCCCCTTCTCCTCCCTCTTCTTTTTCGACGTCTACCTTACTCCCACCCTGACGGAAGCTACCAGTCTGAGAAGAAAGCACAGCGTCCATACCAGGCGGATTAATCCCCACAAACCGGACCCTATCCAGCGGGAACCCAATCGCAGCACAATGGCCCTCGACGAGGCGGTCACGTTTGAAAGCGTGGCTGACAAGGGTCAGATGGCGCGGCCAGTGGGAGTGGTGGTGCCAAAAGAGGAGGAGGGAGAAGAGGATGTTGTGGTAGGAGTCGAGGGCGCGTTCTTCGAGGAGGATGCGGTTGGTGGTGGTGGTGTTGTTATCCGAGGGGTTGGTGTGGGTTAGAGGAGGAGGAGGGAAACGGGAGACAGCTGGGTGGTTGGCGAGCGCGAGGTTGTAGTAGCTGCGGGCTTCGGAGAGGTTGAGCTCGCGGCGGGTTGGTCCGCTGGGTTGTCGTTAAGTTTCAATTCAATTCAATGAAAGGGAGTGGATGTGAGAATGTGAAGAGATTTGGCTTACCCGGAAAACACCAAGACCGCCTGCTCATCCTCTAGCAAGAGGTCTACGCCCGCAGCAATGTGTTGCATAAACGTCCCCGTTTCGTCCTTTTTGTAATCCTCAATAAGCCATTCATCCACATCTTTCCCAGCCGTCGGTCCTCCCTTCCATATCGCATGGCCGCAGACAATGATGAGGTGGTCCAAAGCCATGGCGATGTTGATGACATGCACAGCAAAAACGGTTCAGAGAAAAAGTGCCCTGCGCTGATTGCGGCTCGGACCCATTCAAGAGGGGAAAGCGGAAGACCAATCATGTGATACAAGGATCCACGGGAACATAAGAACAACGGAGGGAAAAAAACAAACTTCCTTGAAGTGCAAAACAACGATGGACAGGGGTAACCGTGGTGTTGAAACGCACTGACATGCCCTCTCATCCAATACTTTACAAACCTCGAAGCAGCCGCAGAACGCTCGAAACAAGATATAGGCTCCCGGCAATAACTACTGGCCCGTCTGCGGCTGCCTGGGAAGCCCAGGCCAAGGCGCCTTTCACATCATGTCCTGCATCGTACAACGTCTTTGCCTCTGCACCATGCCGTGCGGCGAGCTGTAGCAGTTCTGCGGGGTCCGTGGGCTTGACCCAAGGCATCCCATCGACGGGTTCAAACCGGACAGCAGCGACCTGGTCACCCGGCCGGAGTAAGAGACTGAAGATGCCGTCCATGTCTTTACCCTGGGTGGCCGCCAGGACCCATGTCACAGGCTTGTTGGCGTCCGAACGCAGATGCTTGTCAACATACTGGGCCAGGACCTCGGCCGACTGCGGGTTGTGCGCGCCGTCAAGGAGTACTTCCCGGGGCTGACCGGTGACCTTTTCAATGTTTAGTTTCTGTAACCGGCCCGGCCGTGGCTTCTGCTGGATGGCGGAGAGGAAGCTAGCGAGCGGGCGTTGCTGTTCAGGGCACGCCAGACCAAACGCTGTGTACGCGCAGGCCAGATTCTGTATCTGATGTGGCTCAAACTGAAGTTTTTCCCCGGCCACCGCGTCCTCAACGGCTGCCGTATCCGGGAACTGAACCTTGGACCCGACCTCTCGCGCATGTTCCTCAATCACTTTCAGAACGGAGGGCTCGTTACTGGAGTCCACCACACAAGGGACGCCAGGCCGCACAATCCCAGCCTTCTGCAGCGCAATCTCCTGGATCGTGTTGCCGAGAAACGCCTGGTGATCAAGCCCAATCTTAGCAATCACCGTGACCGCCTTCTGTTGAAGCACATTGGTCGCGTCTAGCTTGCCGCCCAGCCCGACCTCAACCACGCCATATTCCACCTTTTGCCGATGAAAGATCTCAAACGCCGTCGCCGTCAGCAGCTCAAACTCCGTCGCGCCGACCCGCCCGTCCCGGTCCCGCTGCTTGACCGTATCCTCCGCGTCTCGGAACACCGCCTCCGACACGGGCTGGCCGTCTACCGCGATGCAGTCCCAGCGGTCGACCAGGTGGGGGGAGGTGAACTGCGCGTGGGAGAGGCCGCTGGCCGAGAGCATGGCCGAGAGATAGGCGCAGATGGAGCCCTTGCCGTTCGTGCCGGCCACGTGGATGGCTTTCCAGGTTTGTGGTGTATGTTGGACGAGGCGCCCGACTCGGGCGAGCCCGAGATCGATCATGCTGGTGGTGGTACTGCGGCTGCTGCTGCCTGGGCATGCGGCTGTGGGAGAAGGGGACACAAAGCGATACCGGGCGGGTGACCCCTTAACCCAGGCCCGCCGGCTCAGAAGTGGTCGAAATGACACACAGAGAAAAGATGAAACACTCGCACTTTCCTTCGGCTGTTTGCCGTCCGAATTAGGAGAGAAGGAGTTAGAAATCAGGCGTGACTCATGTTGTCTGCATTTGCTCGTGAGGTCGTTCGTTCCTGCCAAGGAAAGAGTGCGCTTCTTTTGGCCTGTCGATTTCGAGATGCGCCTGCTGTTTGGAGCAGATGGACACCTCGATAACGTCAAGTTTCGGTCGGAGTGGGGCCCTTTGTTTCTCGCTTTGTCGCATTTCTCATGTTACACTTGCATATTGCCGGGCTCGCCGGGCTTTTAACCGTTGGTGACCGGGTTTATAACATGCATTTATCGGGGCTCTAATCGAAACCCCAGCCCCTGCTTGTCACCGGGCGAAGCAAGGGGCAAGGGTCAGAGTGCTGCACAACCGCGTGTTGACCCAGGCCCCTGGCCCCCCCGGCTCAAAAGGCACTCCGCTGCTCCCATTCATTTTTCCCTCTTCAAATCATCCGCAACCCCACGCAAGCCCGCGCGTAAAACGGCCACGCTCAAAAAGCTTGGACGTATCCCCTCAACGCGACATTCCTACCGATTGTCGAATTGCACTGTCGCCATCGCCATCTCCGCTGAGCGGCCGTTCTCCTCGACCCAGTCGCTCTTTTTGCCACCGTTCTTTGAGAAGAAAACGAGCGACGCGCAATTTGGCAAAGGGGAATCGAGCAAAGATGGGCCTCCGGTAAGTTCCCGCTTCCATCCCCCAACTCCCGGCGCCTCTCACCACGATGCCCGCAAGCCACCCATCACATTGCCATCGGCGCGCACGCTCCGGCACCCGCCGCGACATTGCCGAAATCAAAACGCCTCAATTATTTCGAGGATGCGATCGCGTAATTTGATGGTCTGGCACTCAAACTCGTCTTTTTTTTCCTCCTGTTTTGGCTTCTTGTTCTCTTGTGTCGCCGCATTTACTGCGACGAAGGAAGGCTGACCTAAGCCCCCCCCAATCAGATTGTATCAGCCGCCCGTCGCATCTGACCTTCCGGCCAAAGCCACGGCTGATAGGTCCGCGCGATCGCGCTCGACCATCCGTCGGGGCATCGAGCGCAACGAAGAACGAGTTCGCGAGCGTCGCCGTCGCGTGCTTGCAGCTGCGGCTGCATACAACAATAGCGCCCGCCGGCCAACACGACCGCCGCCCAGCGTGCCCTCGGTCCTCCATAGGACGACCGACCCCGACGACGCCTGGATAGAATCAGGGAGAGAGCGCGTGATCGTCCCGGTGCAGGGCCCAGATGGCAGCGTAGAGTTTCTCGAGGATCGTGTCGCCACCATGTTTGGTGAGCGATGGGCGCGTTTGGAACTGGGCGGGAACTCGCTGCGCGATGATGGCAACGGCAATCCCTCGCCTGCACTAAACATGGCTGTCGAACCCGAGTTCTTTTCTCATCGCAGCCAGCTTCGTCGCGAGCCGACGTATACCCTGTCTAACTTGAGATCCACACAAGCCCCCAACCAACTGGTAAGCCCCGCCCCTAATATTTACATCTTCTGTCCACCGCTCTCCGTTCCGCGTCTAACACGGTAACAGTCTCGGAGTCGAACACAATCCCAATCTTCCGGTTGGCCCCATGCACGCCGGCACCGAAGCGCTTTCCGAGAGGACCTTCTTCCGTCACCGGGCGGCTGGACACCGGCACACTCGACTCCCTGGGCACTTGACGCGGACGGCTTGGGTGACCGTAATAGGAGCCTCAGCCCGGAGGGTGACCACGTATGGGACACGCTGCTGAGCACGCTAACCCCAGACCCGCAGCCACCCAGCGTCGGATCGTCATTCGCATCTGCATCCGCATCTGCCTCGGCCGCGGCCAGCCAGAGCCAGAGCCAGAGCCAGCGCAACCCAGCGGCTTCATCCCGCACATCATTCACCACACCGGACACGGCCGACGAAACCTTGACGCCCTTTGAGTTCCCGTGCGAGTCGGGGTGTGACAACTCCGACACCGAAGGCGACGAGGACGACGAAATGGACCAGATGGCCATGATCCCGGGCCTGACCTCGTCCCGGAGGCCGTCCGCCCCCCGTAGGACTGGCGATGACCCGGTCGAGCTTCTGGGCGGGATTGGTGGGATGCAGAGAATAGTCCGCAACCTGGCGCGCCGCGAGGATATCCCCGATGAGTGGTGGGCCGACGCTGGTCTGAGCCGGACATTGTCGCGCGAGTCGTCTGGGAACTAAATTCCCCACGAAAAGAGAGCTCCTTTTTTTACGTTTCCGTTACTCCTGTTTCTAATACGAAGCAGCGTGTTTTGCACCACTAACAAACAAACATGGCGTTCGGGGTTTCTTATCAGAGCAAACAAAGCCTGGGTTTCATACAGCACGAGGATTTTGAGCGTTTCGGTCCGCAATGGTTTTATCTGTCGAACTTGAGGTTTGGGTCGGTCTAATTCGCGGGTTATCCATTATTATGGTCTTATTTTCTTCGCTGGGACGGCCACGGGAAAGGTGGGGTTTCTACCACGGGATGGAATAGTGCGGCTTGCGCATTTATGGAACGAGAGAAAAGGTTCCCCGCTTCATGGTCGGCATGGTTTGTTGGTTTGGGTTTTCGAAGGAACGGTTTCTTAGGACCGATCTGGTCGAACGGTACGAAACCCGCGGGGAAGGATTCATGGATGGGGTAGAGGGAACAACCCCATGGGCATCGTTTGCTGGGATTCAAGATGTGTATGATTATCTTTTGATGTATGTGCATAAGGGGATCTCGGTGGGACCGGGATACGAGATGGGAGGATTTTGGGAGCGGTTATCCCCATGGTTACGGAATGGATTATCCAAACAGTGGGCACTCAGTGAGGAGGCCTCGAGATGAATGGAAGAGCTTGAGAGACAGGACATGGGAAAAGTGGCAGGATCTGCCTAGCAACAGTGTGTGTGTGTGTGTGTGTGTGTGTGTGTGTGTCGATGGTGTTTTCTCTGGTTGACCTTGGCGTAGCAGGGTTGCCGAAAACATCATGATATCAAGCAAGAATTGAGTGCCGATCTGAGGTTCTGAACCGGGTTCCCCACGTTTTTTTGGATAAGATGCATCTTGCAGAGTACTAAGCAGGGGGCTGTTTCCACGTCGTGGATGCGACGAGTCGTCATGATGATGGGATTTGTGGGATGCAGTTTGGATGAAGCAGGTTGTTATGTAGGTTGTGAGGATTAAGAGCTGGCTCTCGTGTTTATTCCCTCCTCTAAAAGTAAACAGAGTAAGCGTGCTGTGCTTGTGGTATCGACCTTTCTTTACCTAAGAATGAATGACGACCTATTTAAGACAAATTATAGCGCCCATATGAGAATAACATCTTTTTTATAGTGTACCTTGGTAGAATCAAATCAAAGTAAAACCTGACCCAAGTTTCAAGACATGGTGCCACAGCACTCGTGTCAGTGGCATCCCATTTCACTTTCTTAAAAGTGCCATTCTTTCAACTGTGGACGGTCACAACGGCTGCTGCATATTCGTGTTATTATAATGTGAATGGGTCTCTTTACCTTTTGATCTTTCGGATCAGACACTTTCTTCCACCCCAATGACCTACTTCGTTCCAGGAGGGCCTAAAATACAAAGTACCTGACCTTGAAAGATTCCATCAGACCCTGCGTAAGGTGTGATTTCGGACGGCCGCGGGGAGTCTCATCTCACTGTGACAGACCCCTGTATTTTCGATCTCTTTGCTGGCGAGGCGTGCTAGGTACCCCTGCGACGGGTTGCCGTGCCCCGCGGCCTTTCGCTCCCTAGCGCGGGTGCAACATACCGGCTTGAGCTTGGCGCCTTACTTGTGCCTTGTTCTTTCGTCCTTGTTCTGGGGCTTGAGAGACGAGGGGAGTGTCTGTGATGGTCTGATGCTGTGGATGAAGGCGTAATAAACCAAAACATGGAATTAGGTTGGGGAACTTGTTCGGGCCATTTCCGAAGGTTTGAAGAGTTTTCTTTCTAGCTTTTCCGGCCCGGGCAGTATCCCGCCATCATTCTTTCCTTCCATCTCGGTACTCTCTCTCTTTTCGCCCCGATCGATGATCCACCCTTCCAACCTTTTCGTCCCTCCTCGTCACGGCAGCAGCCGCACAAGGTTTCCTGTCCAGGAACAATTGGATTGCTGTGACGCTTTCGGGCCCACATCGCACCGCTGCAGCGAACAAGTCTCCACGCGGGGCAGCACAAGCCAGCTGAACATCGCTCTTTCGGGGCACATTTCGTGATTTTGGGGGGTAACCCGAGCGACGGTTTTTTTTTTAAGTCGGTCGGTGTTTTCTACTCCAGGTTCCCGGCCCTCTTTTGTTTTCATTTGCCCGAAAACGAGCCTCGGTCCGGCTGGTTAGGGAGAGAGAGAAAAAGACCATAAGCCGGGAAATGAACAAGCTGGAGGCGTCGAATCCTTCCTTCGGCTGAAGCGAGTTCAGCACTTGACGACCGAGCCTGGTTCCCACACACGACTTTGCGATTCCCCACGCCGTTTGTTGACCAACAAGGGACGCTACCGCCGCCTGCGACTGGCGCACCTCGAACGAAAGACTTGCGACGTCGACCAGCAACAAGACGAGACGGACGGAACAAGACCTGGGGCATTTGGAAGACAATCAAAAGAAGACAAGAGTCCGAGTTGCATAGCTCGGGAGGGAAAGTCGAATTGTCCCAGGCAAAGACGAGAGGACCCCGCGCAAACCACCACCAACCTTGAACGATCCCCCCCCCCGCGAGCGACTCGGCAATCCGAGCCGATCGATCTAATACCCGCGTGCGACGCTCTTTTTCCGAGGACAGAAAACCGGGAAGAGAGAGACAAACCTCCCCAAAGAGACGGAAAGCTAGAGCCGACCCCCCCACCACCGTGAGGGCAGGCAGAGCAGGGTAGTAAACAAACGGGAAGAGGTGCTGCTATGGCGCCGCCGAGCTCCCGGCCGGGCAGCTCCGCGCGCCCTGGGAGTGCTGGCATGCTGTATCATCAACAACACCATCGTCAACACGGAGGAGCAGGATCAGGAGGTGGAGGAGGAGGAGGGAGTGGTGTCAACGGTCATGCGGCAGCAGCGGCGTCCGGGGCGGTTGTTGTCACGCCGGTTGGGGCCAAAACACCGGGTACACCACGCCGGGACCAGAGTCATCACCGGCTGGACAAGGCGATTGCGGTGCAGGATCCGGGGTTGAAGGATTATGTAGGTTTTAAGGCCCTTTTCCTCTTTTCCTCTGTTTGCTTGTTTGCTGTTTTACACCTCGTCAGTAGGCATGAGATGGGTGAGAGGGGGCTCTCTTTTCTAGGTCAATGACCCGTTTCATGTTTCCATATTTCTCTTTTTTTTTACCCCTCGGTCCCCTTACCCTACATTTAGGGGACCGATTCTGCGCGGCATGGCCTCCCGCATGCAGACACACAGACCGTTTAGCTTGGGCACCTCCCACAGATGCCCTCGGCTGTGCCCTGTGTGGACAACCAACGCGGCGCAGGAACAGAGAGCGAGAAGTCGGAAATGTGATGAGATCGAGAAGGGTCCGCGGCGGGCGTGCTGCCCCTCATTCCCCTCTATTGTTTGTTCCCCAGGGATTGGGGGTTTGACCCCCGCCCTGGCTTTGTTTTATTGTTGACAAAAAGTGAGACACGGCTGACAAAAGTGGCTTTTCCGTCACAGCGCCTCGGCGACTGCATTGGCAAGGGGGCCTTTGGGTCCGTGTACAAGGCCTTCAATTGGGGTACCGGCGAGGCTGTGGCTGTCAAGCAGATCAAGCTGGTTGATGTGCCTAAGAGCGAGCTGCGGATGATCGAGGTATGTTGATGCTGGGAGGTTGGGTTTATGATGAGGAGGGTTTGGTGTGGTGTAGTTTGGTGTACTGACGGCGCGCAGGCAGAAATCGATCTCCTGAAAAACCTTCATGTATGTGGCCGCACGAGAGACAACTGAGCTCGGCTACTAACACCGGCCGCGGTGCGGCGATGCGGACCACGAAAACGCTGACCGGGTGATAGCATGACAATATTGTAAAATATATTGGCTTCGTCAAAACGGTGGACTGCCTCAACATCATCCTCGAGTCAGCTTATGTCAACCCCCTTTTTTGTGCCCGTCGTTCTCGGTCTTACTAATACGCCGGCCGGTTCAGGTACTGCGAAAATGGCTCGCTGCATTCGATCTGCAAAGCGTACGGCAAGTTCCCCGAGAACCTGGTGGGCGTGTACATGACCCAGGTGCTCCAAGGCTTGCAGTATCTCCACGACCAGGGTGTCATCCACCGCGACATCAAGGGCGCCAACATCCTGACGACCAAGGATGGCACCGTCAAGCTGGCCGACTTTGGCGTCTCTACGAGCACGCTGGCCGGGCCCGACAAGGAGGCACAGGTCGTCGGCACGCCGTACTGGATGGCCCCCGAGATCATCCAGCTGTCCGGGGCCACATCGGCATCGGACATTTGGAGCGTCGGGTGTACGGTCATTGAGCTGCTGCAGGGGAAACCGCCGTACCACAATCTGGCCGCGATGCCCGCATTGTTTGCCATTGTCAATGACGACCATCCGCCGCTGCCCGAAGGCGTGTCTCCGGTTAGTATTCTTTTTTTCTCAGACCCCGAGACTCTATCGTGGGATGGATATTGTTCTTACTAACCCCCGTGTCCTTTCCTACGCCGAACAGGCCGCACGAGATTTCCTCATGCAATGTTTCCAAAAAGACCCCAACCTTCGAGTCTCGGCGCGGAAGCTACTGCGGCACGCCTGGATCACGGGGTGTCGACGAAGCGACGCGCCGGTGTCGAAAGCGCCGTCGAATTTCAGCCAAGCGGTCGAGGAGGTCAAGCAGTGGAACAAGGCGCTCAAGTCGTCGGAAAGCAACCTGCGGACTTCCATGGGCTCGGATGCTGCGGTGCCCGGGGGGGTACCGCGCGCAAATATGGGCAGGATGCCGTTGTCGCTGGCGACGAAACAGAGGCAGTCTGCGGATGTGTTTCGGACTCCTGAAGTTGCGGGTATGTTCTGTTCTACCTCCAAGACTAGAGAAAGGGGGACTATGCGGGACTATGCTAACGTAGTGTGGATTCAGATGATGATAACTGGGACAACGACTTTGCGACGACCATCTCACCGAGTGCCTTACATCTCCCCCAGATCAAGGGCCAAGACAACTTTGGCGGCTTGCTCTCAGGCGACCGGCTCAAGGCATTCGCCTCCATCGACGCTCAGCGGGAAGATTCCGAGAACTGGGACTCGACGTTTGAAGGGGGGGAGCTGATGACGATCAAGGGCCTCGGTCAGTGGTCAGATGTCGACCCGCAGGAAGACACCATCCGCCCCATGTCTGCTAAGAAAGCGGACAAGACGCGAGAGCCGAGGCTGCGGGTTCCGGAGAACCAGGGCCAGGGGGGCCACAGGCGGCAGCGGAGCCGGCAGGACCCGTTCAGTAGTAGTAATGCGCAGCAGCCGAAGTCGCCGGTGAAGCCGCTGGGGACCAAGTTTGAGCTGCCGCCACGGCCGGATGTGTTGTACCGCGAGCAGACGAATGAGGATTATTCGGATTTGTTTGCTGATAATGATCATGTCTTTGACAGGCGGTTGAGTCTCACCAGCAAGGTATGTCTAGCCCCCTTGAATACTCCCTCCTTGAATACTTTTCACTTTAGGGTATGCAGGCTAATAACAGGTCTTTAGGACGCCCCCCAGCTATTCCACCCCTCCGACCTAACCACCAGCGTCCCAAAGTCCGCCCACTCCGTCGGCCCCGGCAGCACCCGGCGTTCCCGGACCGCCCCTCGCCCGACCATCCTCCCGCCGCCGGACGACGAAGAAGAGGAAGACGAAGAAGCAAACGGGCTTGTCCGACGCCGCCGCGCTCGGCCCCGTACCCGTTCCACGGTGGAAATCACCCGGTTCGCCGAGGACGAAGGCGACGAGGACTTTTCCGACATCTTTGGCGTGGCTGGGGATCGGCTCAGCGAACAACCTGAGGAGAGTGATCGCGGGTCGGAGACGGATGGCGGGTTGTCGCAGTCTCAGTATCTGCAGCGTCCACATTCGCAGCAACAACAACAGCAGTTTGGCGCCAGCGGACAAAACAGTAGCAGTCTAACTCAAAGCCAGAGTCAGGGCGGGCCAGGGCCAGGAGCAGGCGGCGGTAGCGCAGGAGGCGGAGGCCAAGCGCTCATCCTCTCGCGATTGTCAAACAGCTCGTGGCTGGGGGACGACGAGGACGAGGACGATCCATTTGCGATGATGGACCCTGGATGGGACGAGATGGATCTGGAGGCGAATATTGCGCGGGATCGCCATGCCAGGCTGGCGGAGAGGGTGGAGGGGCTTGTGAGGAGCATGCAGGTCACGGAGGGGGAGGAGGTGGTGGGGGATGCTGCGGAGGATTTGGTATGTTTTTTTCTTTCTTTTTCTTCTTCTTTTTTTACCCCCTTCTTTGCCCTCCCGCTGTCTGCGAGTGGGTTGGGTTGTGAAGGTTGGAATGGAATGCTGACGGGTTTGAAGTTGGCGTTGTTGTGGGAGAACGAAGAGGTGAAAGCGCTGATCATTGGGGCGCATGGGCTACTCCCGATCCTGGAGATCCTCGAGCCGTGTACTCTCAAGAGCCGGCAGCATATGATTTTGCAGCTACTCAAGATTGTGAATGCGGTATGTCATCTAGTTCTATTCCTACCGTAATCTGTGTGAGAGTGTACGCGTGGCGTGTGCTGACAAACAAAAAGATCATCCTAGACGACGTCGAGCTCCAAGAAAACCTCTGTTTCGTAGGCGGCATCCCCATCGTAACCAAGTTCGCAGCACGGCAGTACTCCAACGAGATCCGGCTCGAGGCCGCGGCATTCGTGCGGCAAGTATACCAGACATCAACACTAACGCTGCAAATGTTTGTCAGCGCGGGCGGGCTCAACGTGCTGGTGGAGTTTCTAGACGAGGACTACGAGACGTCGCAGGATCTAGTGCTCATCGGCGTCAACGGCATCTGGAATGTGTTTGAGCTGCAGGGGCCGACGCCCAAGAACGATTTCTGTCGGATCTTTTCGCGGAGCAAGATTCTGGATCCGCTGGCGGCTATTCTGCACAAGGTGCTGGATGAGGATCGGGATGAGTTGTCGGAGCTGGTGGAGGGGAGGATTGTGAATATCTTTTATTTGTTTTCGCAGGCGGAGCCGTATGTGAAGGAGGCTGTTGCTGAGCGGCAGGTGTTGAAGAGTGGGTTTTTCTCCCTTCTCCCCCTTCTCCCCCTTCTCCCCTTTCCCCCCTTTTTTCCTGCTTTTTTTTTATCCCCAAGACTAACACCCTGTAGCCGTCCTCAAAGACCTCCGGCGCATGACGCCGTCGCACCAGATCACGATGCTCAAGTTCATCAAGAACATGTCGATGTGCTCCAACGTGCTGGACTCGCTGCACTCGGCGGACGCCATCGACTTTTTGATCGACGTGCTCTCCCTGTCGATGAAGAAGGGCCAGACCAACTTCCGCGAGATCTCCAACCAGGTGCTCAACACCATGTTCAACCTGTGCCGGCTAAGCAAGGAGCGGCAAGAGTACGCGGCCAGCAACGGCATCATCCCGCTGCTGCTCAAGATCATGAAGACGGACCGGCCCCCCAAGGAGTTTGTGCTGCCCATCCTGTGCGACATGGCCCACTCGGGCAGCAAAGGGCGGCGCTACCTGTGGCAGAACAGCGGGCTTGACTTTTACGTGTCGCTGCTGGCCGACCAGTACTGGCAGGTAACTGCCCTAGACGCCATCTTTGTGTGGCTGCAGGAAGAGACGGCCAAGGTCGAGAGCTATCTGCTAGACGGCAGCTTCACGGCGGCCATTGCGGCTTGCTTCAACCCGACCATGGCCAATGCCTTTGATCCGAACCTGCTGGAGCCGCTGCTGAAGGTCCTGCGTCTGAGCCCGGCTGTGGCCGCGTGTCTGGCCAAGGCTGATATGTATGCCGGTGTAGCCCAGAAGCTTAGCCACAAGAAGGCCGTGGTGCGGTTGAATCTGCTACGTCTTGTGCGTAGCATTGTGGATGGCTGCGAGGCCAACGGGCTATCCATGCTGGCGCTGAGCAGTAGCACTGGTAGCACCAGCAGCAGTGGCAGCGGTAGTAGCCTTGGTAGTAGTATTCACAGCAGCAACAACACCAACAACGGCACGGCCGAGAGCACACCCGGCCACCACCTGCGCGTACTGCTCGACGACATCCAAACGCTCGCGGATAAGGACCCGGCCGTGCTGGTGCGCAACCTGGCCTCGGAGCTCATCCGCAGCCACCACATCCACACCGAGCTGCAGCAGCACCACGACGCCCACGCCCACGCCCACGCCCTCGCCCTCGGCGGCTCAACCAGCTCGTCGTCCACCACCACCAGCAACTCCGGCCCGCGCTCCCGCTCCGGCCCACGCCGCAACACCAGCTACACCCCGCCCGGCCTGCACCTCAGCCTGTCCATGCCGCCCACGCCGACCCACGGCCACCGGCTTACGCAGTCGTCGTCGTCATCGGCAGCCTCGGCCGCCTACATCGAGGTAGCCGCCACACCACCCAAACGCTCCGCCATCGGCCTAACCCAGGACCGCGACCCGTCCTTCTATCGCCCCCGCAGCCGCGACGGCATCCCCTTACCCATCACCACCAACATCCCGCGTCGCGTCTCCGACACCCCGCCCGTGGCTGGCTCTGCTTCCGCAATCTCCGCTACCTCCGGTGGCGGTTCTGCAGGGACCAACGGCACACCCGCCGTGTCCACCCCCATGTCCGCCAAATCCCGACTCCCCCGGACCTCCATCACCCAATACACCTCCGCCCGACCGAACCTAACAAGCGCCACCACCATGCCTGTATCCCCCCTGACCACCGGCGCCACCCTGTCCCCCGGTGTCGGCACGGGTCGCGCCGGGGAACAACGCCGTGCCGGCGCTATGGGACGTAGTGAGTCCTTTAGCCACTACACTAGTGCTCACGGAGTGAACAGCAGTAGTTACAAGGAGAATTATCAGGCGTATTTGCATCAGAGTCTGGGTCATCAGAGTTTGGGTCAGAGTCTGGGTCAGAGTCTGGGTCAGAGTCAGAGCCAGGTTGCGGGTAGGATCCGTTCCGGCTCGGCGGTGACTATGGCTAGTGTTTCGAGTGCGGGCGGGGGTGGTGGTGATCACTATAGTAATCATAGGGGGTCACAGCAGTATGTGGGTTCCCCAGGGGGCTCGTTGGTATCGCACTCTGGTAGTGTAGGAGGAGGAGGAGGGCTAATGCCGCCTGTGTTGCCTGTTGGGTATGGTGCTGGTGCTGGTGCTGTTGGTGGGGGGGTTGTTGGAGGAGGTGGTACAGGGGGAAGAAGGAGGGAAAGAGGGGAGAGGGAGGTCAGTGGGGGGAGTACGGGGAGTAGTAGTACGGGGAGTGCTGTAGGGAGTGCTGTAGGAACCGGGACCGGGGTTGGAAGTACGGGGGGGAAACGGAGGAGTAGAGCGCCCAGTGCGAGGTCGGATGCTGGGTCGAATGTGTCCGGGACGGGGACGGGGACGGGAACGGGAAATGGGGCGGCGGATGGGCGATGGTCGTAGGACGACCAGGCCCGGAAGCAGCTGCTGGATTCTTCTCAAGATATGTCTCAAGATACTGCTCCCAAGCTAGTTCTCCCGCTGCGGGTTCAGACGCCGAATCAGGCGCGGGTGAGGGAGACGACGCGGACTGCGCAGGTTCAGGGGACTCGGGCGCAGACACGACTGGCACGAGATACACCGTCACAGGAGAAGGAACAACAACAAGCGCGGGTCAAGATTCGGTCGTCGACTCCTGCAGGTATGCCGTCTGCAGGCATCCCATCTGTAACGGTTACTATACCTCCGCCACCTACACCTCCACCTGTATCCGCATCTTCATCTGTACCTGCGCCTCTACCTGCACCTACACCTACGGCTACGCCTCTCCCCGTGGAAGAAAGTCCCACACGGAATCATCCTCGCCATCACCGTCCGCAACAACATCCATCTCGGAGTACTCAGCAACAGCATCAATCTCGAGCTCATCAATCACACACTCACCCTTCAGCCCGTCCTCGCCGCAGTCGGGATCACACCCGGGCTCGGGATCATAGCGAGAACCAAGGCCAGGATCAGAGCCAGTATCAAGATAAGGCTCGGGGCCAAGATCAGGACCAAGCTCAGGGCCAGGGCCAGGGTCAGTTACATCCCCCAGCGCAGCAAGTCCATGTCCAGAGACATGCTTCAGCGCCAGGGCGACAGGCCGTCTGGAGTGGCTCGGCCGCAGCCGCAGAAGGACCGAACGCAGCAGAGGCAGCAGAAGCAGGATCACCTCCTCTTGTTATTATCAACAACGTGGCGGCGGAAGGGGATGGATGGGGGTAGCGGGTTGATAAATGTGGGTATGTGTGTGTGTGGTTTGGCCGTGTTGTCCCTCCTACATAGTACCCAACCTAGTCTGAGGTTGAGGTGGTTAGAGATGGAAGAGGGAGCTGTAGCAAGCAACCCGAGCTGCTGTGGTGGTTGGTGGTAGTTGGTATTTATTAGTTTTGCAAAGCGGTGTTGGGGGGGGGTGTTAGCTTTTCTTTGCTTAACTTTACGTTTAAGCTTCTTTTATCACGTAAGGGGATAGGTAGCCAGCCAGGCAGGGGAGCATGCAATCGTTATTTTCATTTGTTCTTGATTCCTTCCTTCTCTTGTTTTTCTTGTTCTTCTAGAGGGTGTGGCATACCATGCTAGCCAGCCGTGTATGGTCCGGTTAAGGCTTGGGACTTGGGGCTTGAGGCTTGAGGGTTGGGGGTCGGGGGCTTTTTAGTATTGCAGACAGACAGAACAGAAGGGGTGGAATGAATAGAGAGGAAACCCGTTTTGTTGGTCGGTGAAACTAACGTCCCGGTCATTCACTACCAAATTGAATTTTGGGTTGGCTGGTTTGGGGGGATCTAAGTAAGTGAGTGAGATAGAATCGATATCATTCTGTGGAGACCGTAATAGCAGGCCGCTTGAGGGTATCGTTTGATGGAGCTGTGCTGGGAATTGTTAAGAGTGAGGTTACAGCTTCTTTGTGAACGCTGAATTTATACCTTATGTGGTTCTAGTTTTCTCAACCGTTAGCTGCATCAATAGATATGGGAGATGTGAATCTCCCTCGAGGCAACGGTTCAAGTTGAGGCGTGGAAGGGTCTTCTGATAGTTAGGTAGGTAGCTTTAACTTTCACAACTTTGATAGAACTGTATCATTTTTTTTCTGTTTTCTTATTTATTTACAAAGCACAGTGCGACTGGTGTTAAAACATAAGTTCTCCCTTTTCCTCATATCGCTTTCCGGCTTCACTTCCCTATCCTGACTTGCCTGACAAGACTGCCACTGACACCTCTTAGTTCCACTAGTTTCCTATCTAAAGCTCTCTAAACCTAAAATGGTGTACCCTACATGGTCGCGCCCGATGATCGTGGACTAAACACCCTTTCCCCCCTCGAGCCCTCCGAGAAACGGCGTGTTAGTGAGTTGATGTCCAGCCAGCATGAGAATCTGTATCAGCGCAAATCCCGAGGCAAAAAACCTGAATTCTTCCATTTTATGTTGATCAAAGCTGATCAGAGTTGATCCCGAGAACATGTGCACTCAATTCCCAACCAATCATATCCTCCGATAGTCCCTTATCACTTAACACACCCAACACAGCTCGACAGCTCTCACACTCAGCGGTTCCCAAATCGCGATCCCTCCCGATCCACTAACGTTCTTCCCCGTACGGTCAGCGGACGGTGAGTGGCTGTGCCTGACCGGCCCCAACTTATTACACCAGCGAGGCCAGTGAGAGAGAGAAGCTTGCGCGGCAAAAAAACGAAACAGGAGAAAGCAGACGTCATCGACGCAACAAGCTCCCCCGCTGCAGCCTTCTGACTCCTGAGGCACGGGATCAGGAGACGAGGCATCACGATCTGGCCACGGAGGCGGTTTTCGGGTTTTCTCATCCATCAATCAACTCACTCACTGCTTGCTTGCTTGCCCTCTCGGTTGTCGCGTTCATTGCGCTGATTGATTTATCGAGGATTTGAAGTTTTTATACATTTATCTTGCCGTGTAGGCCTTTTTTTTTTCTCGGCCTTGCGACAGGTAGACCCGCCTGCAGTCTCGATCTATCCAATTTGGTGAGGCCTCGGCGAGACCAGCCAGCGACCAACAGACGACGAGGCTTGACATTTACGACGAGGCTGGGACATCATGACGCGCATGGTGGTGTACAGCGTGGCGCTGGTCGCTCTGGTTGCGGGTAAGTTTGCGTTTTGATGTTTTTGCTGGCATGCTTTGAGAGTTGGTTTCATGCAACCTCGCGAGGGTCGAGAGCGAAACTCTGGCCATGTCGTGTATGGTCTAAGTCAACTCGTCGGAAGGCTGTTGAGATATCTCACTGCCTGTGTTTCGTGTTTGACTCACCTCCGTTTTCTCAACTCATGATGTAGTATCTTCACATCATGCCCTACCTTTCTTCTTATTTTCCTCTTCTTTCTGCACAAAACTAACACCCCCCAGCAACGGCCCTGACTATCGCCTCCATCAACTCCCCCCACTGGGTCTCACTCTCCGTCCCCTCCCCCTCCGGCGGCACCGTCACCGACACAGTCGGCCTTCACCAGCGCTGCTCCTCCGCCACAGGCACCTGCCACCACTTCCCAGAGAAATCGCGCTGTAGCGCCGACGACGATGGGCGCGCGTTCTGCTCCATGTGGCGCACCACGGGCTTTCTGATGAGCTTTGGTGTTGTGGTGGAGTTGGTGAGCGTGATTGGGTTCTTGGTGATCTTGGCTGGTGGGCGGCAGAAGAGGGAGGGCGGGTGGAAGGTGCTGGGGGGGTTGTTGGCTATCGTTGCCGCGGCGCAGTTTGTGGGGATGGCGATTGTGGTGAGTTTACACTATATCCTCTTCGTTTTGCTAACCATCACCCCCGGAGGAGTGAGGATAGAACTGACGGGCAGCAGGCATATCTCTTCGACCACCACGACTTGTTCTTGGTACCGGGCTATCGGCTAGACTCCTCTTGGTACATGTGCACCATCAGCGCAGCCGTTGCTCTGCTGTCTGGAGTTGGCCTGGCCATCTCGGCGTTTGTGTTGCCGCCCGAGGATGGATATCACTTCCTGGGGGAGGCAAATGCAGACGGCGTTTGATCGGGTTCAGTTGATGGATATACAAGTATTGGTTTTCCTTACCGTCTCATGCGGGGCCCTGTTTGTGGTTTTTGGTTGGAGTTTTGGGGCGTTGCTTCTGCGCTTTTTTTTTTTTTGCAATGTACACAGCACCTCTCCTTGTCAAGAGGGAAATTTTCTGGGATCACAATTGTTGGAAGCAGGCCACAGGACAAGACAGTTTGTTGATGAAGTACGGAGTACACTAATGCGAATGCTAATGAACTATCTCAGACACGGAAGGTGCCAAGTCATCTGTGGTCGAACGCGGTCCCGTGTCACTGGTGCGGTGGTCATCCGGATCCCATTTGAGCCGACTTAAGACATGTGCTACGGATGCTGTCTCGTCACCCTCCGAGCCGCCAAGCCCGGAATGGGGCCATGGGGCCGTCGACAGCGAGCCAAGTCGATCGGGGCGGAGAGGCGGAGTCCCGAATACTAGGAAGTTGAAAATACTCGTTTATGGTTGTGGGGAAAGCCTGCTGGCCGCCCGTCGTTGGCCCACAAGACCACTCTGCAACACGCTGTTGGGCAATGTGGAGAGCAAAAGTTGGCTGCGACTGCGGGACATGAAACAGCGCTGGTCACTTCGCAAGCTCGCAACTCGCAAGTCCCTCGGGTTCTCGGAAACGGTATTACCTAATACTAGTATACCCACTCCTACACGGGCAAAGCGTATTAAACTCAAAGTGTGTGGGGAGCTGAGACCCCTGCTCTCTGCGCACCGTGCCCACCCGGCAAAGGGGCGATTGCCCGGTCAAATTTTGTCAACATTTCCAATTGGCGCGATCGATTGGTCCCTGCATCCCTCCCGCGTTCTCACAGCGCGCGGAAACCCCCCGTTCGGTCGCCCTTGGCCACCATTCACAGCAGTTGCGGACTTGCGGTGCCGGTGTCTTGGGTTCCTCCCGGTAGCTTCCCTCGGGGATCCTTTCCTCTCTGTTTTTTTTTTTTTTTTGCGTTCTCTCTCGACCACATTCCCTTGAGCTTCACCGCCCGAGTCCACCTGCCAGGCCGAGCTTTGTTGTCAAGGCTCCCCTGAGCATACACCAGTTCCTCGTTTACATTTCCTCGGGTTTTGATCCTTCCTCTAAAGCATACACGATACTAGTGTCCTGGAAGCGTTGTGGGTTCTCTTGCTGGGCAAGCCGTCCTTGTTGTCAACCTTCACCCCTGAAAAAAAGTAAAGACAAAAAGCTATAAGAGATCGCGAGCACATCGCGCCTTTTTGGCAAGATGTCTGCCAGATATTCCCTGAGACAGACGCCAAGGTGAGCTTTCCACCCAACCATTTCCATCCCGTGGCTCTGGTTTTGAGACACCAACGCCGCGATTTAACCTCGTCCGCAACCCGTCTCGCGGGCTTCTCCTTTCACCCTCGTTACTCACACACGGTGCGTGTAGGAAAAAGGAGTTGTTTGACGGCATGGTTGAGACACCAGCACGCCGCAACACCCGTCGCAAAACCCCTATCGAGTCCGATACCGAGTCCAGCTCCGTCCCCGAGCTGAACACCCAGATCATGGATCCCGTCAAGCAGCTGCGCCGGCGCCCGGCGCCCAAGTTCACCGAGCATATCGATGAGCTCACGCCCCCGGAAACCCCCGTCGACAGCGAGGGCCCGGATGCCTCGCCCCCCAGATCCTTCAACAGCAAGCTCGCCATCGCGCCAATCGAGGATGAGAAGAAGGAGGCCAAGGTCGACAAGAAGAAGATCGTCGATGCCGAGTTCTCGGGCGAGTACGAGTTTGGCGGGCCGTGGTTCGTATCCGTCATGATGATTGGGTTTCCCATCCTCATGTGGTACATGTGGATCGGCGCAACCTACTACGACGGCGGCTTTCCCGTGCCCTCGGCCGGCCAGAGCTGGGGCGACTTTGGCAAGCACCTCGTCAACCTCGTTTACACCGGCGCGTTCCCGCACACCAAGGCGTGGCTGATGTACTGGATTTTCTTCGTCGTCGAGGGCGCGTTCTACTGCCTGCTCCCCGGGATCTGGGCCTACGGCAAGCCACTGCCCCACGAGGGCGGCAAGCAGCTCAAGTACTACTGCTCCGCGTACACGTCGTGGTATGCCACGCTCGCGATCGTCGCTGCGCTGCACTTCTCGGGCGTCTTCCCGCTCTACACCGTCATCGACGAGTTCGGCCCGCTGCTCTCCGTCTCGATATTGTCGGGCTGGATCGTCAGCATCGTCGCCTACATCTCGGCCCTCGCGCGCGGCGCCCAGCACCGCATGTCGGGCAACCACATCTACGACTTCTTCATGGGCGCCGAGCTGAACCCGCGCATGTTCGGCATCCTCGACTTCAAGATGTTCTTCGAGGTGCGCATGCCGTGGTACATCCTCTTCCTGCTCTCCTGCGGCGCCGCCGCGCGCCAGTGGGACCGCTACGGCTACGTCTCGGGCGAGGTCGGCTTCCTTATCCTCGCCCACTTCCTCTACGGCAACGCCACCGCCAAGGGCGAGGAGCTCATCGTCACCACCTGGGACATGTACTACGAGAAGTGGGGCTTCATGCTCATCTTCTGGAACCTCTCGGGCGTGCCGCTGTCCTACTGCCACTGCACCATCTACCTGGCCACCCACGACCCGGCCACCTACCGCTGGAACCCCTACGCCCTGGCCGCCCTCTACATCAGCTACATCTTCGTCTACTGGATCTGGGACAGCTCCAACAGCCAAAAGAACCGCTATCGCGCCATGGAACGCGGCACCCTCATCAAGCGCAACACGTTCCCCCAGGTCCCGTGGCAGACCCTCCACAACCCCAAGACCATCGAGACCGGGCTGGGCGACAAGATCCTGTGTGATGGTTGGTACGGGCTTGCCCGCAAGGTCCACTACACCTGTGATGTGTACTTTGCTACGACCTGGGCCCTCATCACCGGGTTCAACAGCCCGTTCCCGTGGTTCTACCCGGTGTTTTTCGTGGCCATGATTGCGCACCGCGCGTGGCGTGATATTCACCGCTGCCGGGAGAAGTATGGCGAGGCCTGGCGAGAGTATGAGCGGCGGGTGCCGTATTTGTTTATTCCGGTATGTTGTTTTCGTCCCTGTGGTATTAACTCGTGCAAATTTTGGCTGACCACTTGTGCAGTACGTCATTTAAGCATATTCCGCGTCGACTAGCCAGCTAGGTAGATGTCTGGGGTTTTCGTGGAGGTAGTCTATCAGATTCATGTTGTCGCGAGACACATAGACAGACGGACAGCATTGAACGGAGTGTTATTAGCCTGCTTTGTTTTTTTCTTTCTGTTTTCCCTTGTTGGATTTTTATTTCCCCCTAATTTCGCTCGCGTTGTACGCGTCGTTGTGCGTTACACAAGCAGACACATGTAATTGATGGCATCAATGGATGGACGGAATGGATGGAATGGATGGGTGCAATGACTTGAAAGGGGAAACGGTTGGGGACGGACGGACGGACGGACGGACGGACGGCTGCATGGAAACATATTTGCGGGTGGTGGAAGCGGTCTTGCAGTAAAATACATTTGTGGGGGGGAGGGGAAGGGTTGGTGGAGAAAAGGGGGTGGTTAGACCTAGACGGCGACTGTGAGGTGGCAGCGGTGTTCTCTCGAAGGCAGCCTGCGATTCAGACGTTACCCTAGATACCTGCTCTACGTACTGGACTGGGCTGTACATACCTAATTCTAAATCTAATGGTAACCAACGCTTCAATCACGCTTGTGCTTATGCAGTTGCTTATGCAGTTTTACTGCCGACGTGGTGTTGAGGATATATCGAGTGTGGCCAGTACGGGGAAGCAGGGAGACCGTTTCCTCGTAGGGGGTATTAGGTAGTTAGTTACCACGACCGTTTGATGATGAATCCACCAGCTGGCTGGATGGAGTCAGCTTAGTCCTCCGTTCGTCAACTTCGGTTGCTGCCCAACGTTTTGAGACCGGCCGTGTCTCAGACCCGGGGCATTGGATGATAGGACAAACCCCCCCAATCGTGAGTATCCGGTTAGTTGTTACCAGAACCCGCAGTTGACAGGATCAAACCCCGGTCTTGCGAAAGACCGGACCGGACCTAGTATGGAGTTTCAAGGAACGAGGTATAAACTTCGGTCACGAGGGTTATGATAAGTATTGGTTAGCTAACTCCAAACGCTCCTTCGCCTGATCTTGACTGTGTACCGTCCCAGGAGTTCGGGAGCGCCTCTCAGCTGCTTTTCAGTGGCCGGTCCTACTGGTAAGCAGACTGTAACATCGCTGACAGCAAGGAAAGAAACGTAACAGACGAACAGGGACTTGGCATTAAAGACTTACACATGCCACTCCCGCAGAATATATATTATATATTGTTTTATAACCTCCCATCTCTAGGATAGGAGACAACGCACAAACACGAAAAGTTAACCTCGCCTTGGCTGGCTGGCTTGATCAGTCGAGCGTGAGACTCTCGGGAAGAAACTCAGCCGTTTGTCCCCAGTCTCAGCACATACGCACACACACACACACAAACACACACACACACACACCTCTTAAGGCTGCCAGGTTCGACCTATTACACACCGGACTTAACCCCCGTGGTAACGATGGAATAAGCTTCCCTCCAAAGCTATCGATCCGCCACTCTTCTGGCTTTAGGATTGGCTTCCTTCCTACCTCTGCAGTCCATCCTCTCAAGCGAGTAGGTAGGGTACTTGATCGTAAACAACTCTTCTTCTCTTTCTAGTTGGTCTTTTTCAGCATGGCCGGTCCGGTGAGGCGTTTATGGTTACCCCCATCTTTGTGCGTGCCGTTGTCTTCAACATCAGACGGAGGATAATGAGATAACTAGGGGAAAGGGAAGACGTGGTATGGATGAATATTGCATGATGGTGATGGTGTCCTGATAGCGGGAGGTTCATTCCTTAGGTGAAATGGAACGGAATACGAATAGAAACTGCCTTCGCAGTTCTCGGTCTGATTCGTTGCTCGTGATGCCATGGCATAGGGCTGCGTAGACAAAGGACACACCAACACTCACCCGATTCAGGAAAGAAAACCAAGATCGAGTGAACTGAGGAGAGAAGACTTTTAGTGCCGACACGGCTTGGTGATATAAGTTATCCGTAGAACCAAGCACCAGCTTCCCGTAATACTCGTCATGCCGTTTGGGCGAGCGCCGTCGAGACTGGCCTTGGACCAAAACACTACACTGCTAAGGAACAACAACTAACCACAGGCGAGGATGGCAAAGACATTGAAGCCACAGTACAGACATTATAGATACAGCTCCCGGATCAGTTATCAACAACAAACAACTACGCACATCACATTCACATTCACATTCACATCCAGCTAGAGCAAGACGACAACGATAGGTACCCAAGATCCAAATAAACACGACGCGAAATGCAGCAAAGCAAAAAACACCATTTACCAAACTAGACTACAATCTCACACCCATCACCATCACACACCCACTCTTCATCATCATCACCCATCTATGGTGGAGAGGGGAAAAAAGGAAAACGGAAACCCAGACAAAGAGCGATGTGCGACCCCAAATTTGTGACAATAGTAGATACACGTCCCGTCCCGCGAAGCCATTAACCAACCAATGCCCCGAGATGCGCCGCTTGCTCAACCCCTCCTCCTCCCTTTCTCACTCCTCTCCTCTCCTCTTCTCTCCTCTCCTCTCCTCTTCTCAACAACTCTCTCTATATCGTCCCCTACCCGCCTTGTTTCGCGACCCCCGCTTGGTATGCGACAGGTTGCAAATTATGCTATAGTGAGGGCCTGCGGACAGGATGGACCGTGGGATAGTGAGGGGGCCGGTTGTCTGTCCATCCACAATGTGTTGTGCTGTCCGCGGGCGGTGTTGCCTCGCTAGGCGCGCTTATTGGCAGGTGATGTTGAGCGTAGCCTTGGAGTTCATGAGCAGCGCAACAATCAAACCGTAGAGACCTACGAGTTAATGGTGTCAGCAAAAGGCAAAACCTAGTATGGAATGAAATCCCAGCTCGGCAGGATTCTCAAAAAAGTGGATACTCACCCAAGACTTCAGCGAAAATGAGGATCAGGATCATGCCGACGAACAGCCTTGGCTGCTGCGCCGTGCCGCGGACACCAGCATCGCCAACAATGCCGATTGCGAAACCGGCCGCCATACCCGCGAGACCGACGGCGAGACCGGCGCCGAGCTGGATGAAACCGGTGTAGAGCGCGTAGCCGTCTTGTGTGAGACCGTCCGAGATCAAGACCGACACGACCAGGCCGTAGATACCAATGATACCCGCCATAATGACAGGGACGATGTCTATTCGAAAACAAAAAACCATTAGCTGACGATGCCCTCTCCCCGGGGAAAACGACCGTTGTAGGTCATCTTGGTGGTATGTACGCACTCTTGACGATGAGATCAGGGCGCAGGACACCCATGGCGGCGATACCGACACCAGACTTGGCCGTGCCGTAGGAAGCGCCCAAGCAGGTGAAGACGATAGCCGCGGTGCAGCCCATGGCACCGAAGAAGGGCTGTAAATCAGAGAATTATTGTCAGTATAAACGGCCTATTTTCTCCATTTGCGGTTGCATGGCTGCTTGCTGCGAGCACGGTCGAGTGACGTTGGCGCGCGCTGCGGTTCGTCACCGCTGTCGGATTGACCGAGCTGAACGTTGGTCTTGGAAGGGAAGATCACTAACCGCGTAGACGGGGCTGGGAACGCGGGATTGTTAGCATCATGGGACATTGAACGATTGAGCGCAGTGGAAAAAAGGAGGCGCCGTGGCGATGGGCGAGTTGGAGATGCGAGGGCCTGCGTTGGTGATGGGGCTGCTTGTTTGGATGCAAAGGCAATGCAAGCTCGGCTTGTTTTGGGGAGGGCGCTCGGGATCGCGGCTTACCAGTAGTCGGTCATTTTGACGGTTTGGGGGGTTTGGGTTGAAGTGGGAGGGTGGTAGATGGGTTAATTAATTATGCTCGTCGGCGAGGGCGGTGGTTGCGCGATGGGTGGTGTTGTTGGAAGAAGAAAGCGTCAATGGGCAAGTTGGATGTCGTCGGGAGGTTGACAAGTTCAAGGGTTCCAGGTTGGCCCGGAGCGAAGAGGTGTTTCCAGGTTGCAGGTTGGTTCGCTGCGGTTGGCTGGCTGTGCCGCCCCGTGCGTGCCTTGGATCGAGCTTTGCTCGGCGGCCCGGCACCTCAGCCACCTCCAATTATGTCAGCCGGGTGTCGGTCGAACCAAACTCCATTCTGCCACGTGTGACCGCCCAAAGTTTGCAGCGGGCCGGGGTGGCCTGGGCTTCGGATGGTTTTTTTGCCAGCTTGAGGCCTCGCAGAGAAATCTCGAAACTTTTCTTGTCCACGCGATCCCATCTTCCCACCAACTCTATCCATCACCCATCCACCACATTTCCAGGGCGAGCAACCGCAGTGAACCCTGGAGAGAAGCCATTTCCATCCCCACGCCATCGACCGTTTTCAATCGCCACCCCCGACGACACCATGTCTGGCCAGAACGACTCTGCTGCTTGGCCCAAGGCCGAGGACCCCGCGCTGATCCAGGAGCTGCTCGACTGCGTGCAGCAGGCGAGCCACTACCGCCAGTTGAAGAAGGGCGCCGTACGTTTTTTTCCGATGCTGCGATCGATTTGAAGTGGAGAGTATTGGCTAACTGAGATCCATCTGCAGAACGAGGCGACCAAGTCGTATGTCGGATCGTTTTCTCCCCGTCGCATTTTCACAACCCACTAACAGAACATGCAGCATCAACCGCGGAACCAGCGAGCTCGTCATCCTCGCTGCCGACACCCAGCCTCTGAGCATCGTCCTCCACATCCCGCTCATTAGCGAGGAGAAGAACGTCCCTTACGTGGTACGTTGCACACCCCCAGCCCACCCTGGTTCTGGGTTATATGATGATCAAAATAGCTAACAGTGGATGTAGTACGTTCCCAGCAAGGTCGCTCTCGGCCGTGCCTGCGGTGTCTCGCGTGCGGTGATCGCCGTCTCGCTCACGTCGAACGAGGCCTCGGACCTGAACTCCAAGATCCGTGCCCTGCGTGACAAGGTTGAGCGTCTGGCCATGTAAGGGTGTTGGTGATCTAGAATAAGGGCAGTCATGGGGGATAATGGGTTGGTAAGACTGGACTGGACTGGGCTGGATTAGGTGAGGCTACTGGCGGTCCTTGGGCGGTGAAATGCCTGGTGACCATCTAGTGCCTGATGCTCGTAGTCGGGTGCACGGGGCATGATTTGGCCACTTATGGAGTCGGTCACTCTTGTCAACGTTGCCCTACGGCCCGGTTATACGTGACAGAAAACATCGAATATACTTTTTTTGAGATTCACATTTTTTTGGATTCGCGATTCAGGGTTGGGGTTGCAAGCGGGCACTTAACCACGCGTCTGGTTTCTCACTTTTCATTCGGCAATGTGCCGTGGGGGGGCGTTGCAGCAAGATGACGCTCGTTCCGGGCGCGGGCTGGGCCGACCCCACATTCCCCCGACATCCATCATCAGTGCTTAGTCGGGTCCTCGAATGGACCGGTCAGATCAAGTCAGGCCACCTCAGGCGGGAAGTGAGCTGCAGAGTTGTTCTTAAGCGTTCGTAACGGAGAGGTTCCTCAGCGGAGTCTACCATCTCTCTTGTCTGTCTTATTTGACCGAAGCAGGGCGAATCACTCCCTTTTTTCGACCGTTTGAACTACGAACTCACCTTATTTGTTTTATTCTCTTTTATACAATTGGACTCCTCTTAGAGGGATTGCTTACTTCTCCACGGAGCGGGCAATGCCCCGACCTCTCAACCCTCACCTCATTCATCCGGTCTACGAATAGAGGTGGAAACACACACCAACACCAACATCAACATGCCCGGCCTAGCACGCAAAGTCCTCATCTGTGCAGCCGTCGACGGACTAATCCTGCACCCCTTAAACTCCTCCTCATCCTCCTCCTCCAACAGCAGGAGCAGCAGCCACGCACGCTCCCCCGCCTCACCCCCAATCCGCATCCGCTACGGCGATGCCTCGATCTCCCCGGCCCCGCGGGAGTCCGCCACTGACCCGTCGTCTCTGCCATGTTTTGAGGCGTACGGTATTGTTGGTGAGTCTCCCTTATTTTATTTGACTTACAACAACCCGGACTATTTTACTTTACTTTGCCCTTTTCTTTCACCCCCCCCTTCTCAAATCTATGTAGGTAGATGGGTCATGAATACACAAAACAAGAAATACTCACCTATATTCATTAGGCCTCATAACAGTATTCCACCACAGCTTCCTCATCTCCATTGTCCGCCGGACCCAAGTCGCTTCTCTCCTCAACAACAACAGCAGTAGCGGCAGTAGCAGGGGAAGTTCACCAGTCTATGTCATAACCGAAGTAGCTTTGACGCCATGTGCGTCACACGCCGAAGCGAGTCGGGCGGTGGCTGAGACGGCGGCGGGGTTGAAGGCGAGGGCGAGGGGGAAGGAGGAGGAGGAGGAGGAGGATGGGTCGCGGTCGCTGGGCGGTTCGGGCGTGATAGATGGGGAGAGGGAGGGGGACGAGGTGGTGTCGGTGGTTGGGGGGGGTGGGGAGGATGAGACGGGGTCGGGGAGGCTGAGCGAGGAGGTTAGGGATGAAGCCGGGGAGGTGTTTAGTGAGCCGGAGGGGGGAGGGGAGGAGGAGGACGGGGGTAAGGGGCATGCGAGGAATGGGAGTAGTGTTGCGCAGGATGTGATAAGGAGGAAGGGGAGTTATGGACGGTTTGCGCAGCGCTGGTTTAGCGGGTCGGGGTGGGCGATGGATCAGACGCGGACGTTGGGGTTGAGTGCCGGTGGGGGGGCTGCTGCTGCCTCTGCTTCTAATAGTAGTGGTGGAAGTGGTGGGAGTAGTAGTGGTAGTGGCAATGGCAGTGGGAAAGCCTCCGGGACATCATCAAGCGACGACGGCGCAGCAGCAGCAACAGCAGCAGCCCTCAGCCTGCTCCCCAAGCTACTCCGGACGAGCCAAATCCTGTTCGGGTCCAGCAAGACCTTTTATTTCGCCTACGACCACGACATCACGCGCAGCATGGCCAACCCGAAACTGCCAGCGTCCACGCCGCTGGTGCCGCTGCACGAGCACGTCGAACCGACGTACTTTTGGAACCGCCACATCATCCAGCCGTTCATCGACGCCGGCGTCGACAGCCTCGCACTGCCGCTGATGCAGGGGTTTGTCGGCCAGCGAACGTTTGTTGTGGACAGCCAGCCGCCGCAGCACGACGAGGACGGCAGCAACAATAACAATAACAACAGCAGCAGCAGTAGTAACAACAAGAACAACAACAAGAACAAAAACAAAAACGGCGTCACCAAGGACTCGGTCGAGCTGAGCGACTTTGCTACGTCCCGGGCCACATCCCCGACACCCACCACGTCCTCCATGCCGATGACCCCTGAAAAGGTCACAACCACAGCCACACCCGGCATGCGGCCATCAGAAAAGAAATTCGACATTACCATCATCTCCCGCCGGTCCACCCAGCGCGCCGGCCTACGCTACCTCCGGCGGGGCATCGACGAAGACGGCAACGTCGCCAACTCCGTAGAATCCGAGCAGCTCCTCACCCCAGCAGACGCAGCATGGGACCCCAACGCGAAAGTGTACTCGTTCGTGCAGACGCGCGGCAGCATCCCGCTCTTCTTCACGCAGTCGCCGTACTCGCTCAAGCCGGTGCCTGTGCTGCAGCACTCGGAGGAGGCCAACTACGCGGCGCTGGCGAGGCATTTCGCCGGGTTGCAGAGGCGGTATGGCGAGGTGCAGGCGGTGAATTTGGTTGAGAAGCATGGGGTTGAGGCGGCGATTGGGGGGATGTATGAAAGGATGATGAGGCGGTTGAATGAGGACGACGAGAAGGAGAAAGTGCGGTTCGAGTGGTTCGACTTCCACGCCGTGTGCCGGGGCATGAAGTTCGAGAACGTGTCGCTCCTCCTCGAGATCCTCTCCGACCAGCTCGAGGCCTTTGGCAGTTCCATCTCGGACGGCCACAGCAACAATAACGGGAACAACAACAACAACCTCTTAGCCAAGCAAAAAGGCATCCTGCGCACCAACTGCATGGACTGCCTGGACCGCACCAACGTGTGCCAGAGCTCGTTCGCCAAGCACATGCTGGACTGGCAGCTGCGCAGCGAAGGGTTCGACATGGCGGCCCAGGCGGACCAGGAGAATGCCTGGTTCAACACGCTGTGGGCGGATAATGGGGATGCCATCTCGAAGCAGTACGCGTCGACGGGGGCTATGAAGGGGGATTATACGCGCACGCGGAAGCGCAACTACCGGGGGGCTTTGACCGATGCGGGCTTGTCGTTGACGCGGTTGTTTAACGGGTGTGTCCTTTTCTCCTCTTTATTTATTTATTTTAATTTTGATTGCTAATGTTAGTAGCATGTTCAACGACTTCTTCCTCCAAGCCAGCATCGACTTCCTCCTCGGCAACGTCACCTCCCTCGTGTTCGAAGAATTCGAAGCCACCATGATGACCAAAGACCCAGCCGTCTCCATGCACAACATGCGCCAGCAAGCCATCGAACTCTGCCAGAAGCGCGTCGTCGCCGACGAGGACGAGGACCTAGTCGGCGGCTGGACCCTACTTACCCCAGCCACCCCCAACACCATCCGGCCCGTGGCCGGCGTGGCCCTCGACGAGGCCGTTCTACTACTAACCGACGCCGCCCTGTACCTCTGCCGCTTCGACTGGAACCTCGACAAGGTGTCGTCCTTTGAGCGCGTCGAGCTGGGCCATGTGCGCAGCGTCAAGGTCGGGACGTACATCACGTCTACCATCTCACCCGCGCAGACCGATGAGGCGCGTAATGTGGGATTGGTCGTGGCGTATCAGCCAGGTGTGGCCGATATCACACGCGTCAACACCCGCTCGCTGTCGTCTGTGTCGACGCCTAGTTCCCCTGTGGTTACTCGGACTGAGCCTGACAGACAGCAATCACAACAACAACAACCCTCTTCCACGTCCCCCCCATCCTCCCCGCCTCTGTCCTCCTCAGTAAGCATAACCAGCTTCCTAACCCGCCGCCCCGCAGCAGCAGCACAACCACAACAACAAGAACCACAAAAACAACAACAACCAACCCGTCTACTCGCCCTCAAAGCCCTACACAGCCAGACCTCCACCGCCGACCCCCCGTCTGCTCGACGACGCCACTTGAGCGAGACCCAGCAGGTGGCCCTGATTGCGAGTGAGATTGAGCGGTTGGCTTTGTTGCGTCAGCCGTGGGGGGCGGGTAAACAGGATGAGGAAAATGGAAAAGGGGAAGAAAAAGAGGGAACCGAAAAAGGATTGATTGAAAAGGGGGATATTATTTCGTTGGCCGAGGCTAGGCGGAATACGACGCTGTTTGAACAGTTGGGGCATTCGATTAAGAAGTTGGTGTGGGCGTAGTCATGTCTGGGATAGATCTCTGGAATAGATCTCTGAGACAGCTTAGATACCGGAAAAGAGTGATATCTCAAGCTGATCCCGTGAAAGCATCCAACCGATACAAATGCATCTGATACCGCATATCCTCCAACCCAATCGGATATTCCAACCCCGTCCCCAACCGAAACCACACCGACTCCCTCTCCTCTACCTTGACCCATCTCTTTTTGTCATCACCACCATCCCCCTCCCTTTCCGTGTCTAACAAAACCCGATCCAACAACCACCCCATCGGATACTCCCTCTTCTTCTTCCCGTCCTTTCCTTGGGTGTCTCCTATAACAACCTCAGAATAACTCCCCGGACTGTCCACGACCAATAACAACGATCCCACGGATGCGGCATCGGTAAGTGCTAGCAGGAACCGTGTGGTGGGTGCTAGGCCGCCGGCGGTGAAGAGCTCGTTAAGGGTGAAGAGGAGAGTTATTAGGTGGGGGGGCGTTTTTACTGTTGGTGTTGTTGTTGCTGGTGTTGTCATTGTTGTCGTTGTTGCTGTTGTGGTTGTTGTTGTTGTCGGTGTTGGTGCTGTTGCTGTTGGTACTGTTGTTGTGGGGGAGGAAGAATGCAAAGAAAACACCCCCCTCCACTCCTCCCTCTCCAACAAACTAAGTGCGTCCCTCTGTAAAAACACCGTCTCTAGTCGTCGTCGTCGCTGCTGTGTTGCATGAGGACTGCTGCTGCTGCTGCTGCTGCTACTGTTATCTCCAAGAGAAGCCGACGACAAAAGCGGCACATTAGCCAGTTTAGCCGCTGCGCTGGCGTATGGCGAGATAGGCCTCGGCGTGGTCAGGGCTGTGGTCAGGGTGTTGATGAGAGGGGTGTAAGGACCAGAGTCGAGGAGGGTGAGGGTGCTGTGGAGCTGGGGAGAAGGAGAAGGGCCAGAAGGAGAAGGAGGAGAAGAAGGCGAATGGGGGTGTTGGCTGAGGAAGGAGGCGAGGGCTACGAGCTCGGCTGGACCGCCGCCTATGGAGAGGACGGGGAGGTTTGGAGGGGTTGGTGGTGGTGTTGTTGTTGTCGTGTCGAGAGAGCTGCTTGGTGAAGTTGTCGTCTCGAGAGTACTTGGTGAGTAAAGATCGCAGAGGTGCTCGGCGATCCCCTCCAGAACAGCGGAATAACATAGAGCCCGCGTGGGACTCCATCGTGCTGCGTATACCTCGAGATGGTGTGGGTCGCTAAAGGCTTTGGCAAAGTCCCTGTCGAAGAGGGCCTGTTTAACGGATTGCAAGGTGCTGGTGAAGTCGGGCGACGTCAGGGTCTCGGCAAAGGCGTGACGGAATATGTCCAGGACGTGCTGTCGGTGCTTTCGGCTTTGTTCTGGGTCTTGTTCCGCGGTTTGTAAATTGTGAGATGAGATATTTGGGGATTTTTTGTCTGGTGTTTTGGCGTTGCTGTTTTTGGTGGTCTTTTTCCTCCCGCCATTGCTGGTTTTGGGCTTGGACTTGGACCCTGTGGCCCCTTTTTTCCCGGCCATTTTAGGCCTGGTTGGAGACAATTGTTTGCGAATGTTGAGTTATCGCTTCTCAGGTGAAGTTGTGAAGGTGATACCATTCAATTGCGTGGGTGTAGAATAATTTGTCCGTAATTACAGAATACGGCGCACAATTTCCAACACCTGGACTCGTATGTTCCACTTCCCGCTTGAGGACATTATTATGTACCTCGTTATTTTTTCAATGCTCACAGGAAGTACACGCCTCGGGCTACTTTACTATGTAGGATTTACACGATTTAGATGCCGCGTATCTCACAAACCCGACACTCTCAAAAGTTTGTCTTGGAAAAGGTGACCCACACATCCTCGTAATACCCTAACCCTCAATCGCAAACTGACGCCCCACCTTCGAGCCAGGGCCCCACGGCACTTACGCCAGGCCGCGCCGACGTCAAGCTACCAACCTTACACATTACTCTGTAATTCCTACTCAATGCATCACTAGCAGCCCCACGCCGCGATCCCACGATTTCGCCTTTTCATCCCAGCGCGGCGGTATCATTTATGACTTCTTCTCCAAATTGATTGCAACGTGATTGGAAGCCACACACCCAACCAACTATGTAATGCGGCCGGGCATGATTCCAACCGCAACCCGGCTCTCGTACCCCCCGAGTCCTCGACCTAAGTTCTAACGCAGCAGCAACCTCTGCGGCGAGCGATGAACGATGATCCGGGCCCGAGCTCTGCGGCCCGGCACCGGCAGCTCCAGGTCCCGCCACGGTCCGACGACGGGGCGTATGACAGCGACAGCAATAGCGACAGCAGCAACGACGGCAGCAACGACGGCAGCAACGACAGCGACAGCGTCAACCACAGCGTCAACGACAACGTCAACAACAACACAGAAGTCGAGGGCCATGGCGATGACCGTCCGGCTGAGCAGACCGCGACGCAGCGGCAGGAGAAACGACGGCAGGGTCTGGCCAAGAAGCTCGAGCTGGTCAACCACTTGCAGAAGAGCCTCGACATGATGGTGTTTACCTATGCTTGTGTTTTGTACTACATGGAGTGGGTTTTTTATTTATTTTTTTATACAAACACTACTTCAACACGAATTAAATAAGCCCTTGCTAACTCCGCCCTTCCAGATGCTCATTCTTCCGCTTCATCCTCCGTCTCGCACCACACTACACCTTCCTAACCCCGCAAGACACCCCCCCCAACGACGGCCTCCTCCTCCCGACCGACCAGCTCCCCATCCACACCATCTTCCTCCCAGGCCTGTTCTGCCTGCTCATCCACCTCTTCTTCCGCCTGCCCGAAGCCGGCGAGGCCACGCGGGGGTACCTCCACGGGGGGGTCATCATCGACTTTATCGGGCAGAAGCCGCCCACGTCGCGGCTCGCGTTTTTGGCGCTGGATTTGGTTATTTTAGGGACGCAGTGCTTAATGTTGGCGGTGCATCAGGAGAGGGAGAGTCTTAAGAAGGCGGTGTTGCCCCCGGGGTCGGTGTCGGTGTCGGCGACGGGGTTGACTGGTAGCAATGATCAGGGCGCTGCTGCTAGTGTCACGGGGACGACTACGCAAGACCATGATGCGGAGGAGAGGGGGGTGTTGAGAGACGAGACGTATCTGGGGGATGTTGGGAATACAGTGGAATCACAAACACCACTCTCTCGAAGCAACAACGCTTTAGACGAAGAAGATCTCGACCACGACCACAGCCACGACGAACAAGGCGGCAACACCTACTCCTCAGCGACCGCCAACGCCGGCATGCTAGATGTCCTACGCTCGGGCAACGCCGTGCTGGCCAACCTGCATGTTGTTCATGCTGTGCGGACGACGGGACAGGGCTCGCAGGGCACGGCGGCGTACTGGCTGCGGTCGATGGGGTATGGTGTTACGCTGGTGGCGCTGGCGGCTGGACGGCGGAGTCGGTTGATTGCGAGGCCGTCGGGGCGGTAGGGTGGTAGTAATGAATAGTAATGAATGAATTGTACGGGAGGGACAGTGTTGAATAAATATTGGAATTAATGTGTTTTATGACAGACAGTCCGTCCGTCCAACTTTGGGAGAAAAAACGGGCGTAGATCTGATGTTCCCAGTTGACAGTCCCGGTCGGCAGTAATGGTGTGATATAACAGTGACAACTGGGATCGTCTATGCTACCTTCCTACCCACATTACCCACCCCCGTCCCCTTAACCGACACAATCAAATCCCCCCCCTCACCTTCTTCCCCATCATCTCCCGCATCCCGTATCCCCCAGCTACTCGCCCCAAACTGCTTCAGATCCCTCGCCAACCCCACAATCTCCTCCCTCGCCATGACCTCCCTGCCCAACCTCAACCGCCCCACATCCTCGGCCCCCATCGCCATCAACATCAACACCGTCGGCGCCGCAGCCCCCGTCACACACCCCCCCTGCGCAATCACCTCCAACAACTGATACGCACACCGCACCCCGACATCCTCCGGCACCACCCCTCCCTGCGGCGGCGCCACCTCATCCGCGGAATACACTACCCCTTCCGCACTCGACTCTGCGACTAGACTCAACCCAAACCCAATCCCCATCTTCCTCTTACTCCCCCCCTTCTCCCCTCCCTTTTCAGTTCCAGACGCCACCAACGGCGCCGGATCATACTGCGCCGCAACATGTACATCCGACACCAACTGATTCAACACCCCCCTCGCCGCCGTAATCATCCGACTATTATGACTAGCCGACACCCCCGTGCAATACGCCACACCCCGAATCCTCCTAATCCTCCCCGGCCGTCGGTTCAAATGCAGCGTTTTCGGCAAGCGCACCTGGCTCGCAAACCGCATCTCTACCAGTCCACCTCCGCCACGGCCGCCGGGACCGGGACAGGAGCGTGCTAGCACGCGGAGTTCGATGCGTGCGGGGGGAATGCCGAACAGGCTGTAGAGGGGCAGGAGGGCGGTGCGGAAGGTGTCGATGGATAGGTCGCCGGGGCCGGAGGTGGAGGTGGCGGAGGTGATGACGCCGGGGCCGGAGAAACGGACGTTCATGTGGGCTTTGGAGAAGGGGGCCAGTAACGCAAGAGGAAGAAGAAAATACGTGACGGAGCGGGTGCAAGTGGCGGGGAGGATGTGTTCGATTGCGTCGGAGGCGAGGGAGGAGCCGGCGCCGGGGGTGGTGCCGGTGATGAGACCGGGCTGGTAGGTGATGGTTGTGCCGGTGTAGGAGACGTCGATGACGGAACCGTTGGTGACGGATTCGAGGAGGCGGAGGAAGGAGATCTCGTGCGGGGCGAGGCCTGGGTGGGTGGGCGAGGCAGAGCGGATGTGGGAGATGTGGATGGGTCGGCCGGTGAGGGTGGCTAGGACGAGACGGTGGGTGAAGGCGCGGTGGCCGGTGAAGCGGAGGAATTCGGTTTTGGGGGTGGACATGATGAATTTATCCCCGAAGGGGGTAGATAGTGAAGAATTGAGGAAGACAATTAGAGTTAATGGAGAATTTAATATTTGAAAGGCAGAGGTAGAGCGGCAATGGCCAGCTTCAATCCCGGGGCGAGGGGATCAAAAGGCGATGAAAGTCGCACTGCAACTTCACTGGCAGTCAAAAGTTCCAGAAATTTTGGAGGGTCCCTCGGTTCTGCCGGGCGGTGAGAGTCGCGTGGTGCTTATCGGCCACCCACTGAGCCGATAAGAGCTCATGGTGGGCAGCCCCACAAAAAAAAGAACTCGATGCGGGACACAGACTAGGGGTCCATTCTCGAAAAGCATTGAACATCTTTTTACGCTACAGCGAAGTTTTGAAAAGCCAACGCAACCTCAATCTTTGCCACTAACGCGCCCATTTACGTCCAAATCTTGATGAGATCCGTGTCTATTACACCATGTGTCACGAATAACAACCACCAATGCCCCCCAGGACACTCGCCTTCGACCTCGGACGCCGCGGCAGTAATTATGTGTGCAAGTCCTGCCTCGAGAGCGTCCGATCCGTCCCAAACAACACCCCGCCATGGCTCGCGAGGCCCGTCTCCAATGCCGCCCGGCGCGCAGCCCGGCAACCCCCAAAGAAAAAGACACCCAAACAACCCGAAGGCGTCCCCGACCTTGGAACCCTCCAGAAAATGCTCCTCGAAGACTACCCACACCCACCATCCACATCCGCCACAACACCCCTACTCTCCGCGCCCCCTGCCCCGGGCACGAACACGGACACGGACACGGGAAAGGGCGGCGAGCTCGACGTAAACTACTTTGAGCAGGACGGGCCCGGCGGCAAGCTCCGACGACTACGCGACAAAGAAGAGTTCGCTGAAGTCAGCACAGGCTTAGACGCCGAGATCTCGACGGCAATCACCGACCTAGAACACAAGATGCTACGCGCAGCAGAGATGTTGCAGCGCATGGAAAAGACCCCCGGCGGGCACGACAAGGACCGCGCCGAGGAGCTGCGCCGGCGGTTCAAGCGGTCGCTGCGCGTGCAGTACAAGGGCAAGATCGGTCCCGAGGCTAAAAAGCCCCAGGTCCTGCATATCACGGGCTTCACCAGCCGGCAGCGGGCCGTGGCGATTCTTAATGCGTATCTGGCGCGTGATAGTGTGACCACAACCGGGGTGCCGCGGCAGCGGGATGTGACGGAGTCCTGGCGGTACTACTCGGCTGCGCGGCGGACGCTGTCGACGAATTGGCGCGGTGTGCCGCGCGCCGTGTGGAATTTTCTGTGGAGGGTGCTGTCGTGGGAGGGGGACGGGATCGAGAACCCGCATCGGTTGTCTCATTTGTATGTGCTGGCGAAGGACATGCAGGCGGCTGGGGTGCCGCTGCGGTACTCGCAGCAGCTGGTGACGATGGAGGCCATGTTTGTGGAAGGGTGGGAGAAGGAGGCGATCGAGGCGTGGAAGAAGGCGGTGGTCACGCTGGGGTCGAAACCGGAGGTGTTTGCGGAGTACTGGGAGCTGGGCGTGCGCATGTGCAGCCAGCACGGCGATATTGACCGGGCGGAGCGGGCGGCCGAGACGCTGCTGCGGTCAGCGCAGCCGCCCAACCCGCGCGTGCTCATGCCCATCATCGAGGCCACGGCCGCCAAGCACGGCATGATCGAGCACGCGTGGGAGACGTACACGCACATGCGCACGCTGCTAGGCGAGACCATCACCATCGAGGACCACGACGCCGTTATCGCCATGTTCCTCGCCGCGGGCCACGTCGACCACGCCCTCCAGGCATTCGCCGACATGATGTTGTCCAAGTCGCACGACGTGATCGGCAAGGGGACCCTGCCCATGGCCATCGGCAACCACTTCTTCCTCGGCAAGTGGCTGAAGCGGCTGATTGGGGCTGGCGACCTCGAGGGTGCGTACAAAGTGGTGGTTTACATGCAGGCGCACCGGGTCACACCCGCGCCGATCCAGCTCAACGGGCTCATCGGCGCCTGGCTGCGGCGGGGGTCAGCCGAGGACCTGGAGAAGGCCGACAAGCTCGCGTGGGGCATGATCCGTGCCCGGCTGCGGTTTGTTCTCCTGCGGCACCATCGAAGGGGCCAGCGGCTGTTCCAGAAAGCAGGCCTAGAACCAGACCGCGATGTCGATGTCGATTCCGATTTCGACCCTTACCCGTGGGAGACCACGACACCGGACAGCGGGGCGACTAACAACACCACTGACAGCAAGGCGGGCGCCGAAACTGATGCCGAAACGGGATACGTCTGCCGCACGCGAGCCACCGTCGAGACGTTCTGCCTGCTGGCCGAAAACTACTGCTCCCGCCGGCTCCACGAGCGCGTCAAGAACCTCTTCGACGTGATGCGCCAAGCCGAAACCGTCCCCGACAGCTTCCTCATGAACCAGCTGATCCGATCCTACTCCAACAACCGCGAAGCCGACGTCGCCGCCGAGCTCTACGAAACCATGACCAAACACCAACACATCACCCCCGACGGCCACACCTTCCTCACCCTCTTCAACAGCCTCTCGGTCAACCGCCTCGTCCAGCGCGACCCAGCCCTCACGCACCAAGACATCCCCGCCGCCCGACACTTTTTCCACGAAATGGTCACCGCCAACTGGACCTTCGACTCCCCCGAACTCTTCGTCCAACTGCCCCGCACCATCCTCTTCAGCTTCCACAAAACAAAGGACTTCCGCGGCATGATCGTCGCCGCCCGCGCCATGCGCTCCCTCTTCGGCTTCCACCCTCCCGAAGCCCTCCTCATCGAACTCGCCGCCGGCGCCGGCTCCGGCGCAGGCACAGGCATGGGCATGGGCGTCGGGTCGCTGCGCGTGCGCAGCAAGGGCAACATGGACCGGTTGGTGCGGGCGCGGCGCACGGTGGAGATGCTGGTGCATCAGTGTCGGAATGCGCTGGTCGCCATGACGGGGCGGCCGCATCCGGCGGAGGATGATATGACGGAGGAGGAGCGGGCTGATGAGCAGTGTGAGGTGTTGGAGATGTTGATTTTGTTGAAGGCGGGGGCGCAGGATATGCCGGCGGAGGAGGTGAGGCCGTTGTTGGAGGAGGCTGCGGGGGAGATGGGGGTGTGGGAGGTGGTGTTTGGGGGGGATCGGGGGGCTGTGGAGAGGTTGAGGAAGATTGGGAATATGGTGGTGTGATGTCGGGTGTATTGTAAAATGTGGGATATTTGTACAATATGGTGATGGTATGTGAACAGTATGTGTACAATACGTGTAATATACGACTTGATGAACCACTCAACAACCAGCCCTTCTGTGATACAATAGCTATGATGTCAAGTTGCTGAAGTAAATTGCTGAACATACCACTAGTTGCCCGCTATCTCCAACAACTGGAAAACTTGTTTCTTGGTTGTGTTCCTGCACTTTCTGTTAGGAGCGGCATGCCTAACCCTAACCCTCACGTTTCTCAACCTCAATTCCATCTCAAGTTTCACCTCATTCCTCTTTCATCAACTTTCAACTTCAAAACCCAAAACTCATCAACCAACAAACCTCCATCACCCCCTTTCCACCACCCATACCCACCACTCACCCCAAATCGCCAACCGGCCAGCCATCAAAATGTCCAAACACCAACCACCTTACAGCCCAGAACAAGAAGAAGAAGAAGAAGAAGAAGACTACATGACCATGACCTTTGACGACCACCCCCCAACCACCACCAACCCCAAAACCCAACTCCGCTCCAAATGCAGCACCCCCTCCACATCAACAACATACGAAACCTCCCTCCAACGCCACCGGCGTCTCCGCCGCGAAGCAGAGGCCCGCGCCCGACCAAAATCCAACGCCGAGCTGGCCGCTGAAGCCGACGCCCGGCGTGAGGCGGCCTTGTCGCGCTCGTTGTTTGAGACGAGGCCGGAGAGTAAGGGTTTGGCTATGATGGCCAGGATGGGGTTTCGGGGGGGGAGTTTGGGGAGGAGGGGGGATGCTGGCGTTAAGGTTGCGGTTAAGGTTGATGGAGGGGATGAAGTTGGGGCTGGGGAGAAGAAGCAAGACGGTGATGCGGCAACAGCACCAGCAGTACCAGCCGCAGCAGTAACGAAAGACGAGAACCCAATACCAACCCCAACCCCACCACCAACGTTAGCAGCTACGCAAGAGCCCATCACCATTCACCCCCGCCTCGACCGCAGCGGCATCGGCCTCGAATCCGACCGCAAGCGCAAACTCCGCGAGGCCGCCGCCGCCGCTGACACCGCTACCAAACGTGCACGCGCAGACGAAGGAGCCTACCGCGACCGGTTACGCCGTGAGCGGGAAGAGGCGCGCTGGAGTCGGCAGCTTGTGGCTGCGCAGCGGGTTTTGGAGGGGTTGGATAGTGAGAATCAGAGTCTGGATCCGGATTTGGATCACGGGGGTCTTGAAGGGGAGGAGGAAGGGACCAGGAAAAGGGAAGCAGCATCCCGCCCGCTAAAATCCATCCCCGTCGTCTACCGGGGCCTAATACGCTCGCGAGAAACAACCGAGCGGGACCGGCGGATGCGTCACGATCTAGAGCATGGACTGGCACAGGTGCGGTGGCGGGAGGGTCAGTTGCCGGGGTATGATGATGCGGATGAGGACGGGGATGATAAGATGGCGCTGGGGAAGGAGAGGGCCGGTGGGACGGCCGTCTATGTCACGGCGGAGGATCTGGACGAGGAGGATGAGGAGTTGGAGGCGTTTGAGGGGCTGCCGGTGGAGGAGAGGCTGGAGAAGGTGGTGGGGTATTTGAGGGGGAAGTATAGGTATTGCTTTTGGTGTAAGTTTAAGTATCCGGATGAGGGGATGGAGGGATGTCCTGGGGTTACGGAGGAGGAGCATGATTAGGCTGGTATGGGGGGATATGATAAGAGGGTGTGATGTAAATCTTGATCGGGACGATTAGATGTTGGCAGGTGTTTAGGGGCCATGCGTTGACCCAAACAGAAACGTGAGACTTGATATAAAAGGAGTGTTGAACACGCAGTTACTCATCAATACTGACCCCAGTGAGTCTGCATTATCCCAACGACGCCAGAACCCCAAATGATACATGTTTTGCAGTTATTGTTTCTGTTGGACGTTGTTTATTGACACTTATGTTGAGTTCATGATAACTCGATGCTCTGGGTTAAGTCAGAGTAATTACCTCCCAGTATCTATCTACACTCACCTTTTGGAAACTTAAAGTGACTTAACGCCAACAACCTCGGTGCTACGTACGTAGTAAGGATTTTATTCCAGAATCTGCTTCAGGGCAGTCTAGTTTCACTGTTATCCAGTCATTCCCAACCTTAAGCCCGACTAGACTCCGTTGATAGACAACCTTGACCAAGTCTATTCTTAAAGCACTCGATTGTGTTTCCACCTGGTCCACTCCAGCTTAAGCCAGCACAACTCCCCGCCACCTTTTTACACGATGCTTCCTCACAGGCTCGACCCGGCCAAGACTACACAATCAACATACTAGTGTATAGTATAAGCACTAGAACACCATCGTGACCTGCTCCGTGCCCTCTTACGCCGTAAATCGTGAAACTATTGGACTCAACATGTCGTATCAAGACAGCCCTCCCAGAAAACAGGTAGCAACCGGAAGACAAGTCCAAACGCAAGCGTACCATTCTTTCTCATCCCAGTCTTACTCATTCCCCCCTCCCGACCGATACTTCCATCCCACCATCCCACCATCCCACCATCCCACCCATCACCCATTACCCCTCACACCACACCCACCACACCCGCCAGGCACATCCCACCATCGTAATCGATATCAAAAGCGGCGCAGCAATGTCTCTGAGAGTCTGTGTGTAATCCCTTCTCCCGCTCCGCCCCCACCCACCCTTCTCCGTCCTCTCCGCATCAGAGAAGACCCGAGACGGACCGAGCCCGTTCATCCGCCGCAGTCAGACATGACTGATCTGGAAGCACAAGCCTACGGTGTACAACATCGGTCAACACGGGATTGACCAAAGGGAGGATACAACCAGAACTAAAAGAGGAAAGAAAAAAAAGATTCCGACCTGCCGAATCAAGAACCGATCCGGCCCTCCACAACATTTTTTTTCTTCAGACTCAAAGTCTCTTTCTTACAGAGTAGTTTAACGTTGCACACTAGGAGTTAGTTAACTCCTCGTCCGTCTCGTCCCTCTTCTTACCACCCGAGCACACCCGGCAAAACACCCACCCACACCACACACATACGCACGCACACAAATCTGTAACGGCGCGGATGCGGCGCAGCGGCACAGCGGTACGGCCAAGCGGGAACGATCGGTTCGTTCAAATGGGATGCAATTCCCTGCTCATCTCACTAACTGCAGCTGGTCCGTTCCTATCCCCGCTTGCTTTTCTGACGGGATTTGGATCTATCTGACTGACCGACCGACCGAAAACCCCGATTCGGTAAAATGATTCTGACCAGTGGCCAGTGGATGACGGCTCAAGCAACGTCTAACGTCCAACGGTCCGGTCAGATGGAGGGAGGCGGGGCGAGGCAGATTTTTCCTGCTGTTAGTTGGACTTATTCGAATTTTTGTGCCTGATTTGGTATGATTTGGAACTCAGAAGTTGGGAGAAGAGTGAGGATACAGCTAACCAATGGTGGATTTTTCACTGACCATTACTCACGACCTCGATTAACAATGTATTATTCACCGCTTGATAGCGTGTGTTTGGTCTCTCGAATACGGCGCGGGCGGGCACAGCGACGGCGCTTGGAAAGTGGTGTATGTGCTACGCATGCATGTTTGTCTGTCTCTCTGTATGTCTATCCATACGCCGGGTAGGTCTATAGGTTTGTATGTATGTCCGTATCTATCGTGTACATGTACCGATACACCAATTAACGTATAATTCCATTGTCTTTCTCTCTTTCTCACCCTCCCCTCTCGGTATTGTCTCTCCCCAGATATTCGAAGGCAGTCAGACGATGACGCGCATCCCTCCCGGCTGAGTAGTATACACTTACATACACTTACTCGTCAGCAACGGCAAGCGACAGCCAGCTGGGCCGGTCGTGCCACGCAAACGGGGCGTAATGTTTGTACAATACTTGTCCGGTCGAGCCGCTGGTGTAGGGCTGGATTGTAGGTTGCCTGCTGGTATCCGTGTCCGATCTGCTTTGCCGTGGTCTGTTGGATTTACCTCTTTGGGTTTACCTCTGTTGGTTTACCTCTCTGACCCTCTGCCGATTTCCCTCTGTCTGTCTGCCTTGACTCGGAAAAGACAGAACCGAACCTCGGGACGCAGCAGTTCAGGCAGATGCTCAGCTTGTCAGGCCGCATGTACCTCGCGATGGACGGTACAAACGACGGCGTCCCCGGTCTCCTTCTCATCGTCTGTTGGATCGTGGGAGGAGGCAAAAAAGACGTCATAACGACTGCCCAAAAGGTTAGTTGGTTAGTTCGTTCGCCAGTTGGGTAGTTATGCCGTTAGTGAGCACTTTGTTCGCCGGCGGTGTGTCCCCCGAGCATGGCCGCCACACGCGGTCAACTACTGCATCGGGCATGTCAAACCGGGGGCATACGGGCATACCAATCCACACAATCCTCACAATCCACGGCTTCGGTGACCACGCTGGGTTTCAGATCGCGATGCGGGCGCACTCCCACGCTCGGATTTGATGGTCGACCGGACGGGCGGGCGCGGCGTCTCCGATGGCCGAGGAATGTTTTTTTCCCATGGTCGGTCTGTGGTGTCGGATGTTTCGAGACAAAAAACTAATGCAGCCTACGGACAAAACACCAATCGCATCGCACCACCGCTTTTTTTTTTCTTCGCCATCCTGTTTTTTTTTTCTCCCTCTGTCGAACCAACACCGGCCAACAGAAAAAAAAACACGCAAAAAACAACCCGAACCACTGGATCATCCGAACAAGCAGCAGGCCTCCAGTCCGCCCGGCCATCCGGCCAACCAACCCACTCACCGGCCGGCCTATGATGCGGCCATGCGGCCTCCCTCCATTCCTCCCTCCACATGCACGGCACTGCACTGCACGCACTGCGGCCGGGCTGTTGGGCCGCTCCGCCCGGACTACCTACCGACGCACCGGTCAGTCGGTCGGTCGGCCTTGTTGAGTCTTGTTCTTTGCCTTCCCTTCGGAAACTCGCCAACCATGTCGGCCGGCTCCGGCTCCGGGTGCATTTGTGTTTGTTTGTTTCTTGGGTTCTGTTTTCTCGAACCAACTGATCGGTCGGCGTGGTATACCTTGGGATGAATTGAGAGGCGCGAATTGACGAATCAGGTTTTTCGGTCTGAACTGCTGGCCCCCAACTCCCAACGCTCAACTCCCAACCGGATGGATACACAATAAAGGTGTGTGCATGTAGTAGAATATTAAATCAGGACCTGGTAACGGTTTGTATGCACAAGAGAGTAAACGAGACCAGGTAAACGCGAGGCAGCCGTGGCGCAGGACAGCGAACCAACCAAGCCCAAGATCCCCCAACTGTTATACATACGCAATCGTGATACATGTACCAACTAACATATGATATACCAACTCTAATATACCCATTCCTTACATAGTAAACGCCCCCAACTGCACCACACAGCCTCAACCGCCGGGCGGCCGTCTACGGCTGCGGCAGACGGGAGAGACGGGACGGCTAGCATTAGTACTGGTTCGTATCCGTCCCCTCTGCCCGTCTCCCGCAAACAGCCCACGAACCAGGAAAAGACAAGCTCACCACCTTTCTGGTTCAAGCTGAATGACCTGAGGCTGGCTCGAGCCGGGTCGGGAAGGCGAGCGGGCGGGCGGCCTGCTAGTTATGCATAAGTCGGACATACATGCAACATACATACATAATAGCGGGAAGGGGAGAAGAATAAAGGATTTTATGTTGCTTCGATTGTGGTGTCGCACGGAGGTAAGGATGACGCACGCAGGAACAGAAAAAAGACTCCGACTCGAATAAGAGGGGGGCTATAAGCGCCGGGAGAGTATCACAGCAGATGGAAATCGTCCGGACCACGGAATAATAATAATTTTATCTATTTATGACGTAGAGAGGTTCGAAAATCGGACTTGAGTTGTTCAGCCCAACTATCGGGATATGAACACGAGAGGGTAAAGATGCATTGCGTTTGTTCCGTACTGGACTGGACTGTACCACTTACCAAATAGAAGAGTTACACACAACACACACACTACACCCAAGCTTATTATTCCATCAATCCACCATCCAACGTTAACGTTAAACCCTACCAGTAGCACAAAACGCACAAAGTCCGAGGTGACGTCAACCCTACGTGCCGACGCGCTGGTGATACATGAGAAACCCGGCGCAGCACAAGTACACGTACGGGGTCCTGCGTCTCTCTCAGCCCCCATCTCGTCACACCTTCCCGGCGGCCCTCCGTCCGGTCCTCCGTCCGGCCCGGAAGGGTGGTGCATGCGGGGGGTTTCACACTTGGTCCGTCGCGGTTGCAAAGCGACAATTGAGTTCGGATTTGTAGGTTTCCAGGACGGGCAGTTACAAAAGGTTGCTGTTTGTCTAGGAGGAGTGAGTGAGTCTTGGCCATGCTGGAATCATCAACCCCGCCGCAAACCCCGCCTCGGATCGTCACAAGAGTTAGTTATCATCCGAGCATCTGGTGATCAGATGCGGGCATATTCGCTGTGGTTTTGTTTTGTTTCAGGGTACACCCCAGTTTGACTTGAGTTGTCGCATCGAGTTGCGTTGAACTGGCACACGTGCTGGAGTCGAACGAGTCAAGTCGAGAGTTTTAAGAGTTTGGCGAGTCAAGTCCCAAACAGGAACATACGATACGAGTGGGAACTCGATCGTCGTACCCGATCGCCGGTAACGCTGGCTGGCAAGGACTGCCCTCTCTCGCCTCTCTC